GTTTGATTGCCAACAAACATAGAAACTTTGAAATGAATTAAAATATAAAAATACCTTAACTTATCGACCAATATTTTGTTGTGATATCAAATATGATAATGTTATGTTTCAAGTATTTTTAGATTTATAGAGTCAATATTTTGGAAAGACAAAAAAAAGGAATATGAAAAGACCTATATATATATAGTATGTATATGTATATGTTTGTAGAGTTTTGCTCATATAGATCTAAAAATGGTAATAAAATATAAACATTAAAAATAATGTTTTCTTGAGTTAATTGCAGAATATACATTTTTTCATACAAATTTTAAAAATAATTATATTTTTAAAAAAGAAAAGAAAAAAAAAATTACCCTTTCACATACCAGTGATGGCTTCTGAAGTTGAGAGGCCCTGGCTTGCTCCATGGTCAAGCAAGGTATCAGGAGCCTTTGGTGGACTCTTCAAATGAGAGGCCTTTAAATCATGTACGGTCTCAGAGGATTATTTATATTTTTTTTATCTTTCCAGAGGCAGTAATTTATGCATGTAGTTTCTCCACATGTATATATATATATATATATATATATATATATATATATATATATATATATGTATGTATATATGTATATATATAGGTTCATGGTGTGTGCACAATATTTTCTTGACTTTGCATGTTTGGTCCTTTAACTATATTATCACTTAAGTATATTGTCAAGTGCGTTAGTATCATTCATGCAATGGAATGGATTCTTAGTTCAAACATGGATTTCTGTTGCCAGTTGTTCTTCAATTTCATCCACTAATTCACTGTCTAATCTTTTTTTCCATTTTGTATATATATCTATCATGTGCTATGCATGTTGCTGCTGAAATCAAAGGCATTATGACCAATTCTAAGACACAAATAGCAAGCCTCTCTCTTTCAACATTGTCATGATGTGATGTATGGCCTGGATAAGATTTGAACCTATAAGTTTTAATTTTGACATCATCTTGAATTTTTAACCAATGTTAGTGTATTTAAAAGTTGAAGTCATTAAATTAGATTTATATGATCTCTTGATTTATTTACTCAAGAAAAATAAATGTTCAAAATAAACTGTGTAGCTTAGTTTTTCTTTTTTTTCTTTTCCAGTTTTTGTTAAAAGTTCTCATTCCTAAAACAATCAAAAGGTAAAATTATCTGCATCCAGAAAAAAAAAAAAAGAACTGAAATAAGCTCACTTGAAGAATTGTGACCTGTGAGGTTCCAAGTCCTCTTCTTTCAACCAAGAAGAAAAATAATCAGAACTGAAATAAATAGTAGTATATTTCCTTTCCAAAAGAAAGTTCAGGAATCCTCTGTAATTTTTTTTGGTGGTGACATCAAGTCACAGGAGGGAGTACTACCTCCACAAATATGTCCAAAAGAGCTTCGGAAAATACAAACTTTGTGATAGAGAAATATCAGACATGTCATACAAGTTGGTCAATCTGTCTCTCTCTCTCTCTCTCTCTTTCTCTCTCTCTCTGTATCTCAGTCATTCCTCATTATTTGACATTCATCTCCCTTGCACTCAAGCCACACAACACAGGAAGATGAGACCTGAGAGACAATTTACTGCAGACCACACAGTCAGAGTATCCTCCACTGGTGGTCAAGCTCACTTTGAGTGTAGTCTTCAGTATTCATTCAGGGTCTTATCTCCTACAGCTGGACAAGTATGTCTCATACTTGGTCCTTAATAAAAGAAGGGAAAAAGAAAAAGAAGAATAAAAGGAGCCAAGGAGAGGAGTGAGGGGAGGATAAGCAATCTCTTTCATGGTTCTCTGTCTCACCATTGATCTCTTCACTTGTGGTCTTCCTAGTTTGACTCTTCAAAAGATCCAAAGTTTGCAACCTGGTTATCATCTGGCCACAGGAAGTGCATGGTGGTGAAGTTTGAGAGCATTTCTGAAAATTTCGAGATTGTGTTTGGGAATGCCATCAAACTTATATGTAGGACAGTGACCACACACAAATTATGTTGTTTCTCATTTACTACCTAGGTCCCATCAAATTATATTTCATTTTCACTCACACACAAATTATGTTGTTTCTCATTTACTACCTAGGTCCCATCAAAGTATATTTCATTTTCATTCACACACAAATTATGTTGTTTCTCATTTACTACCTAGGTCCCTTCAAATTATATTTCATTTTCATTCACACACAGATCAGATAGAAAGTGTATGGTACTTATTAAACTCATTCATGGGGTCTGCAAAATTAGTGTGGTACAGATTAAAGGTTCAAATAAATTCTCCAAACAAGTATCTAAGAAACTTGTGGCTTAGGAAAAAAAAGGTATAGACCCTTCCAAATCAGACATTTTAATGCATTTTATTTATTTATTTATATAAAGTCTGGAGATCACTACACTCCAATTTAAAAAAGCTTGTGAGAGTCCTCTTTCCACAAAGGCATTTATATTCCCATAGGATGCAGGTTTAGTCTATATCAGACAGGAGAAATGTTGCAATCTTGAGCCCATGTCCACCAACTTCCAACACTATAATTAGGAAATATTATCAGAGATCAAAATGGACCATATTTTTTTTTATTGATTAAAGCTTATGATGATGCTCATAACCATTTGAACTTAATTAAATCAAATATCTTTTTTTTTCCGTAATCACTCAAATAAGATAAGTACAATAATAATAAATTGTTTGGATTGACTACATGCATCTTTTATCACTATTGAGATGCATAAAATATCATATATTTAATTAAGTTAAAAATATTTAAATATTTATTTATAATTTATATTAAAGTTTTATTTCTCTATCTCTCCTTGTACATAATGGTACTCATTTTTTCTCTTCTAATTATTATATCGTATCGTAAGGATATCTTCATATCATCTTAACCAGTTATCTCATTTTATTCTTTGTCCAAGTAATACTTAATTATCTATGAATAAAAATATATTTTTTTCTATCTTTCATAATAACTTCACATATCCACATCAATATTCACATATTAGCAATATAAATTATATATATATATATATATATATATATATATATATATATATATCTTATTAACTATCTAATATTTAGATCCATAAAATATTATATGTTTAATATATTATATTTTTTTATCTCAAAGATATCTGATAATTCTACAAAACTTCTAATGACCATTATCATTTTAGCCATCCTTTTTTTAATTTATGAATAATATATTTATTGATTTCTTCATCTTATTTAATAATTGATAGGAAATCCCTAAAACTTTTCTTTAAAAGAATTTATTACTCATCCAATTTAATAATATTTTTATATCTATTTGTAGTATTACTAAAATTATATCTCATATATTCAAACTTAGTTTTAATTAATATAAAATCTTTAATTTTTAATGATTACCTCAAGAACTCAAGTTTAGAATTAATTCTAATTAGACTCTTATTAACTAAAATAATATCATCACTAAATAATATATATCAAATAAGTTTATCTTATTTATCCATTATCAATATGACAAGATATGAACTTAATGCAAAGTCTTGATATACTTATATAATAATAAAAGGCTCATTGGACATATTTCCTTTAATATTAGTAGCTACATTATCATACATATCCTTAATAACATTAATATAATCAGTGGATATATATTTTTTCTAAAATCCATAATAATAAATCTCTACAAACTTTGTTATAAGCTTTCTCTAAAATAGTAAAAATCATATACAAATCTTTCTTTTCTCTTTATATTTTTTAATTAATTATCTTAATAAATAAATAACTTATATTGCTAATCTCCAAAGCATAAACCAAATTAATTTTTAGATTCATTTGCCTGAAGTCTTGTCTAACTTTTATGACTCTTTTTCAAAGTTTCATAATAATTTTTATTCCTTTATTATTAGAATAGTTTTGTATATTACTCTTATTCTTATAAATTATATAAAAACTCTTTCTCCATCCATCAAGCATTATTTTAAATATCATAATATTATTAAATAAGTTATTCTTTTTCTTTGTTTTTTTAAACCTCGATGAGGATATCAATAGGTCTTACACTCTAAGCTAATTTCATTTTTTTTATAGGATTTTTTACTTAACTAGTTCTAATTTTATGAACAAATCTATGATTACTAAATGTACCATTAAAGCTAAATCATGTGTGGAATATTTATCAAATAAAATTTTATTTTTAATTTATTATTATTAATCGGTATTCTTAGGTATTCGGCCTTAATACATCTAATATTACTTTACTCCTCACACTTTTTTCTCTATCTTTTAGAAATTTGATATATATTTTTTTCATCATTTTTAGTACATAATTTATTATTAAATTTATCATGAATTTTATATTTTTATCATCCTAACAGTTATTTTAAACTTTTTTATTTTTTAAAATTGTCTTTATTTTTATAATTTTATCGATATTTAAAATATAATATTTTAATAATAATAATTACTTTCTAGATCTTCTCATACCATCATCAACTCTCTTTAAACCGTACATCTACCTTCACTTTAATCAGAAATATTTTTTGATTAAGTTTTTAATTTTATTAGTAATCATAATCCAAATAATATTAATAGTATCTCCACAATAAATAAAACAAGTATAGAGGAAAAAAAGGTATAAAAAAAAATAAGTGTGGAGGAAAAAAATAAAAAAAATAATATGGAAAAATCCATATTCCTCTATCAAGATCCAAATAAGTTAAGATCAGACTGTTAGCCTAACATTTTTCTTCTTCTTATAATAATTCTTTTTTTCTTGTTTCAGTGTGTCTTCAATTATTTTCTTGTGTAGACTTTTCTTTCTTATTTCCCGTAGTCCTTCAATGTTAACAAAGCTATCACATAGCTAAATCCTGATGTTGATCGAGTTGGTGAACGACGAGGAACTTGTGGCTTCTCTCGACGTTCTTGTCCATGTCTCACCCACATTCCCATCATGTACAATCGAATCTCTTCAAGATAAATTGAGCGGTTCTTCTTCTTGGAAGTTAACAGTTACCTGAAGCACCGAGACTGCCTCTCCCACCCATGGCTGAACTCCTTGCCCGTGAACCCCTCCTGCCAAAGGAAAAGCTCAGCCATGGCAGTGGCAAGACTACCTCTTTCTTGCCTTCTCTGGCTAGACTGGGGCTCAAATCACTGATGTGGGCAATCTTCCTGGTCTGGGTTGCTGCCATATTCTTCTTCCCCACCGAGTTGGTGAAGAGCTTGTTCTCGAGATGGACTAAATTGACTGAACAAACCGTCTTCGGGATCACAGGTCTGCTCTCTTCCTACTGTTTGATGTTTGGCTTAAGAGATGGCAGATGTCTGACTGATCAAGTGTGGCTTCAAATGTGCAGGAAGTTTCTTCCTTGGTTTCAGCGGCCCGATCCTTGTTATCGCTCTTCTCGCATTCGTATACATAATTGCCTTCCCCAGAGACGATTTCAAGTATGCGTATCGATCGTTCATTCGATTTGAGTTAACTTTTGTGCTGCAAGAATTCAGAACTAAGATGCTTCTTTTTGTCAGGAAAAAGAGTGCGAGGCTTCCGAGGTTTCGGCTCTGGACGTTCCCGGTCATCGTTGATGGGCCTTTTGGTGTTGTTTCTGCTGCGGAATTCATCGGGATAGTCTTGTTTTCCGCTTATGTTCTGTGGACGATCATCGCTTACACCATGGAGAATCGCAGCTTGATCTCAAAGCTCCTGTTCCCTTCGAATATTAAACTGTATGTCAGCTCCGACATTTTCATCTCACTTAAAGATCGCGAAGTTGAATGTATTTCTTGTAGAAATTTGTTATGCTTCATTCTGCATGCTTAGATTTCAATTTTTGGGCTCCATCAACGAAACATAAATTACTTGTCAAGCATCATCAGTGGTGAGGATCTTCAGTCATATTAGTCATGTTCAGAGCTTCAGTCCATGTTGCTGCTAATGAAATTGTAGCGAAAAACAAAACACTTGACAGAGTATCACAGTATCATTAGATCTTTGCAGAAATCGTTCTCGATGTTCTTGATGATACTTTTTTTTATGAGGTCATGGAATCTGCACACGGTTTAATTCGCTTCCATCATATTTGCGGTACTATCTGCATGCTGTGCTTTTCTTGTTCTTCTTCCCTATGTCACAAAATCATAAAACCTATAGAAATCGTCATTCTTCTTCATCCAACAATAATTTGAAGTTGAACCTGTGACTGCCATGACTTGAGTAGGTAATGCTTGGCATCCTCTCTAATGTAGAAATTTCAAGCTTTCAGGTACTTATTCTTGGAGCTGACTGGGCTTCGCCTAGGCTTGATCGGATTGTTTTGCTTGGCATTTCTATTTCTCCCAGTCGCGAGGGGATCGATTCTTCTCCGCTTAATAGACATCCCATTTGAGCATGCTACCAGATACCATGTGTGGCTTGGACATCTCACAATGGCCATGTTTACATTACATGGCTTGTTCTATGTCATCTCATGGGCACTGCAGGGGCGCCTCCTGCATGAAGTGAGCTCGACTTCCTTTAATTGTTCTGCTTAGCAATTAAAATGATCATAGAAATAAATCACAATGGTGATAGTATCTGAGATGCTGCATTTGTTTCTACTATTGCCTCCTGGATTGTTTTAACCTTATGATTTGCTTAGACAAAGTTAGATAGTTTGATTTCCACAAAGCAGAGTATATCTTCAAAAAGAACTAGTTTCGTTTGATTTCCACGAAGCATAGTATATCTTCAAAGAAGCACTAGTTTAGTATCAATTAAATATTTTTTTTCAGCGGTTAATCTGTTATTATGCTAAGCAATTGCTTGTGATACATATTATAGCAGAAATAATTCGATATTAAATTAGTCACATTCTAAGATTTTTTTTGTGGTACATTAATGATGTTTCATACTTTCATTTTCCAGGAAAAGAGTACCTTAGATGCTGATCTTGAGCAAAAAAGAGTTTCTTTTTATCTAACATACTACTCTTCTTTTCAGTTATGTTTTTATGCTAAATAATTTTTCTTACCAAATTGGACTTGCAGTGGGCTTTAAGTTGAATCATTAACATTATTATTGAAATATTATTCTGTGAACATTGATTTTGTATGTCCACTTAAGTTTTATATTAAATATTCAAAGAAGAAAATTCTGTAGATAGAATCAGTGGACTCCCATCAGATCTGAAGGGGCTTATGTACTCATGCAACGCTACATGTTTATGTACCGAATCTGAAGAGGCATGCTTGGTATAAACCACCCAGATTTATCTGCTATGTTAACGCAAGATGTGAACTTGCATGCAGATTCTGGAGTGGAAGGACATCGGAATTGCCAATCTCCCGGGAGTAATTAGTCTGGCCGCTGGGCTGCTTATGTGGGTTACATCACTCCACCCTGTGCGGAAGAACTATTTCGAGCTCTTCTTTTACACCCACCAGTTGTATGTGATCTTTGTTGTCTTCCTCGCCCTACATGTTGGTGACTTCGTCTTCAGCATCGTTGCCGGAGCAATCTTCCTTTTTGTTCTCGATCGCTTTCTGCGATTCTGCCAGTCGCGGACCACCGTGAACATCCTCTCAGCAGCCTGTCATCCATGTGGAACTGTGGAACTTGTTCTCTCAAAACCAGCAAGTATAACTTCTTGACTATTTCCAGCAAGATTGGGAAGAAGTTTATCTTTTTCAGCTGATCTTTGTTTACTTACTGATCTCCTAATCAAACTCCCTGTTCATGCACTGCAGATCTTCGGTACAACGCACTCAGTTTTGTGTTCCTGCAAGTACGTGAATTGTCATGGCTGCAGTGGCATCCCTTCAGTGTTTCCTCCAGTCCGATGGATGGCAAACACCATCTATCAATTCTTATAAAAGTTCTTGGAGAATGGACAGGGAGACTACGCGACATCATCTCCAAAGTCCCTGAGCAACCACAAATCAGCATCCCTTCACAGCCTAAGATCACTGCCTCTGTTGAAGGACCATATGGACATGAAGTACCCTACCATTTGATGTAAGCCTACTCTGTGGCAGTTGTTTCTCGTGTTCTTGTTCTTGCTATCATCCATTTGTTGCTTTCAGATCAACTGATCATGCTATTTGTGGCTGTCAGGTATGAGAATCTAATCCTGGTAGCTGGAGGCATTGGCATTTCACCATTTTTTGCTATCATAAGCGACATCTGCCGCCGGATCAATGAGGGCAAACCTTGTCTTCCAAAGAATGTGCTCATCATCTGGGCTGTCAAGAAATCCAAGGAGCTTTCTCTTCTTTCAGTTCTCAACGACCAGGCCATCTCTTCATCTTGCTTTAATTCCCTGCAGCTGGATATTCTTGCTTGTGTCACTCAAGAATCAGAGGCTCCACTGGTAGATGCACACTTCCAACATGTTTGTTCATCGAATTTGCTTGGCATTCCCCTAAGTTCTACTTCTTTGTTGCAGGAAGAGGGCATTATCAATGCTGATGAAAACTCGAAGTCTTCCTCCCTCTTAACCACCAGTGGAAGCAGAATGTCATGTTTGGTTGGCACAGGGAACAACATCTGGTCTGGGATCTACTTCGCTGTATCCACTTTCGGCTTCGTTCTGCTCTATGGATTGGTGGAAGCATATTACATCGTGCCTTCTGCAATCTCTGCTTGGTGGTACCGCGGCCTCCTGTTTACGATCTGCATGGTTGCCAGCGTCGTCATCCTCGGAGGTTCTGTCGTGTTCTTCTGGCATCTCTGGGAGAAGCATTCAAGCAGTGCGAGGTCGACAGAAGACGATGAGAAGGAACGAACCCTGCGCAACGAAACCACCACTGCGAACTTTGCAAGCATGCTAACTACTCAATATGGCCGCCGGCCGGATTTCCATGGTACGCCTACCGCTGCTTCTCATCCCAAGTCACAGTCGAAACCTGTAATTTTCTTCCCAGTTCATGAACATTCGTAATATACATTTCTGCTCCTTTTGGTCCAGATCTATTCGGTTCGTTCGCGAAGACGAAGGGGAGCGTCGACGTCGGCGTCATCGTGTGTGGGCCGCCTGGTCTTCAGACGAGCGTCGCTAAGGAGTGCAGGTCGCAGAACATCCGGGGAAGCTGGAATCAGCCTGTCTTCCACTTCAACAGCCACAGCTTTGATCTCTAGTAGCTCGCTCGTACATGGCATCTTCTTCCCTGGAGCTTGGATTACTAGTACGGTCATATCTCATCAAATAACCTCTCTCTCTCTCTCTCTCTAATATATGTAGATAAAATTCCTGAGATGTATACATGACTAAAGATAAATCATATAAGCAATGTCAATTAGTTACTAACTGTTCTTCCACGAGGCGACTAACACGACTCCTACAGTGAGCTCGACGACGGAGTGTAAACTGCACGTGGAGGAATTATATGTGCAATACGAGAACAGCGGTCGAGACCGGTGCGACACGTCCGCCACCCTCTGACAGACCCACGCGCTCCTCCAATACCAGACAGTGGGAAATGTTCCCGTTGCTTGTCTTTTGCTTTCGTGGGGATGCGATCCACCGGGCACCCACCACCGCCCCTCTCGTGCTCCATCATCATTCTCTCGCAGTCATTTTGGGGCATCATGTGATCAAAGGCGCGTCGGCGGTATCACAAAGTTGACCTTTACGTGGGAGTTTGACAGGATCGAAGCCAACTCTGCGGGGACGGCGCGAAAAGCTCATGCGTCGTGCCCCGTCGTGCGGCCCGCATACAGAGAGGTAGAGGGTGCTTTGGTCCATGTGCTGCGACCCCACCAACGGTGGGTCACGCTCGTGGCCTCAAGTCTTGACGTCGGTGTGTCGGTGTGTAGATAGCCTTCTGGGCCCACACAAAGTGTGTCTCTGTAGCGTCCGAAGGATCATCGAATATTTGTTGTTCTCGGGATCTTGGCGTCCCTTCGTTCTTTCATCGACGGCCAAGAATGCTTGTGGGAGTTGGGAATCGAGAGCCGACAAGGTGGGGCTCCGACCGATTCCCTCTCCTTGTCAACACCACTCACCGACGTGAGCTTTTGAAATAACTAACCCTGCTTGTCCAACATGCTTTGATACAAGAGCAATAGTTAATCGACCGCGATCCATTTCTACACCCAACACAACGAGAGAGAGAGAGAGAGAGAGAGAGAGAGAGAGAAAGAGGCGAGCAGAAATGGCGATGGAGATGGAGATGGAGATGGAGGGCTTTTTGAGGGAGTGTGAGAGGTCTGGCGACGCCGCCTACGCCGCTCTCAAATTCGTTCTGGAGAAGCTGGAGAACCCCGCCACCCGATCCGACGCCCGTGTGTTCCTCGCCCGCGTTCAGCAACGGTTCCACGCCAAGGACGACGCTGATCGATGCTTCCGCACCTACCATTTCCGTATCCACGACGTCCTCCTCCACGATTTCCAAGGTCGACGGTTCCCTCCTTTCTCAGTCTTGCTCCCGCTTCTGTCTCCTCTTTCTATCGCCACCCTGTCGTTCTTGATCCTCTTTAGAATCTATCTTCTCACTTAACTTACTACACAGGAACTTGCGATGTTTCCGATTGTTAGCTTTATGGATTCGACTCAGTTTTGGATCAGATTCCATATGGATCAATCTGTCTTCATCCTTTCTTTATCTGGTTGACACACATATTGGACGTCTGATATAAATCTATTATGTTCCATTTCTGTTTCCATTAAAATTTGAACTTTAGGCTTGTGTAAATGACAAATCACACTGGATGTTTCTTATCTTTTGTTGTTTGTTCAAGAAAATGGCTGCTGGGGATCCTGATTCGAGTTGTCTGTTAAGGTTGACTTGGTTCTAACGCAAAGGTTGAACTCAGACAAATGGTTTAGTGTGATAGGACGTAGTGGAAGAAACGTACTGAGATCTCGATTATGTGTATCCTCGTCCCACGCTAATGATTTGTTGTTATTCATTCGATGTAATCAATTGCTTACATTTTATTTACACTCTTTTTATCCGGTGGATGCAAATTGAATCTAGTACTTAAGCCCATAGGTTATTTGAGTAGCTTTATTTGGTTATTGATCTGGACTTGTTATGGGAATCTGACGACAAATATCAGAATTCTGTTTGACTGATTTCCGTTTTTCAGTAAACCTACCTATTCATCAAAAATCAAATCAAAATTTTAGAATTTTTCTCTTTTTTGGTGACGATTTTTAGTCAACCTTATTCCTCTCAAACTTACCTAGCAGTCCCAGGAGAGGCAAGGTTGGAGTCCAGGTTTCACATAAACATGATGTTGCAAAAAAAAGGGGGGAAGAACATTTGTAACAAGATACCCTAGAATTCATGTTTTCCAAACATGAATGTGACTGGGTGGGGTCAATGTGAGAACTTAAGGCTTATCTTACTTTTGGGGGAGCCCCCGACGATTGGAGTTTATATTCAAGGATAGTGTCTAGATATTACAGGTTCCAAAAAATCAAGGTAAGATTAGAAACAACCAAGAGGAAAAAGGTCAGCATTTATATTTCTACTTATGACGTGGAAGAAGATACTTACCTGCTCATTATGCTCCAAGAATGCAATTGAGCTTGGTGTTGCTAAGTAACCCATTGCTAACTTCTTGTTTCCAGTTTTGGTACTTAGTACTTTCAGATTATTTGAATGAAACTACAATGTGGAAGCATATATTTCATTTACTAATGCGCTTACATGGGCAAGTAACAAGTAATATTTGTTTCTTTATATGTTGAAAATTTTTTCTGGTTGAGTATTGAAAATTTGGAAGCTTGTTTTATGCTTACCAATTGGATATCAGGTTAGAGTTATTCTTCTCAAAGTTAGTTTCCTCTCATTGCTGATCTAACAATTTACAATTCACCAGGATTCCAAAAGAGAAAGAAGCTGACCATGATGGTGATCCCTAGCATTTTCATTCCAGAAGATTGGTCTTTTACTTTCTATGAGGGCATAAATCGCCATCCTGATTCCATTTTCAAGGACAAAACTGTTGCTGAGCTTGGTTGTGGAAATGGATGGATATCCATTGCACTTGCTGAAAAGTGGTCCCCTTTAAAGGTTTAATTCTGTTTGCCAGATACTCGTATCCATAATTTATACATAAGTCATGTTTCAGTTCATCCTGGATAAGTGATTTGCTATATTCCTTGTTAAAAAAATGGTGAGCTTTAAGTCATTTACCATCGGCGTCCGTACCACTACAGTGCTACAGTATTTTTTGCTATAGCACTGTAGCACTGCTACAGTACTATACAGTAGCTAGTATAAAAAACATAAAATTGTTTGGTACACCGGTACCATACCGTATCGAGCCCGGGTTGAAACGTCGGTACGGTACGATACGACGAACCTTGGTTTGAAGTTTCTCCATTTGCTTCTAGTTTCAAATTGGCAATCTTTATGCCATTAGATATATGGCTTATAGCTTGGAATTATTGGTACCTATTTATTCCTTTCTATTTGCAGCAGTGGTGCATGCTTTCTTTAGGTTCTCAGATCTTTGAAGAGTTTGGATAAAGAGGGAAGAATGTGGAATTTGATCTAGAGAAAGTTCTGTGCAATATGCACGTGTAAAGATTTAGAGACAACGAATGAAATAAACTCTTCCAAAGAACTTTATGGTAAATAAACAAAGTTGAACTGATATATATTCAATCACAAACATTATGTATTTTCTCTTTGACAAGCAACTAACTTCTTGCCCTTAAATAGTATGTTTTAGCATAGTGCATAAACTTTGATGCTCATCTTCCATATTCTTGTTTTAACACCTTTATTGTATAAATAATTATATAGGTATTTTTTTTAAAATAAATTGTTACTTATACAACAAGGTTGGCATGTTTTGTGTTATGCTCCCCCTGATTGTAAGTGCCAATTTCTTCATGTTCTTTCTATTTTAAAGTTATTATGAATTTGTCCTCATAGTAATCTCCAAGTACTAATGTGGCTCTATCCAGGTGTATGGGCTTGATATTAATCCAAGAGCTGTCAAAATTTCATGGATTAATTTGTTCTTGAATGCATTGGATGAGAATGGGTGTCCTATCTATGATGGAGAGGGAAAAACTCTGCTTGATAGGGTGGAATTCCATGAATCAGATCTTCTAGCTTATTGCAGGAAAAATGATATACAACTAGAGCGTATTGTTGGATGCATCCCTCAGGTACTGAACAAAGTTTTTGAAAATGTGGAAAACCTAGTTTTTGGTAATTTAGCTCATCTGCGACCAATGTTATTATTCAATTATGCTAATGTACAAACATGATGGTTTGTGCCAAATTAGGACTTCCACACATGTAAAACCATAATTTTTCTACTTCAAATGTTGGTTGGTTATGTATGTACATTCTTTCCCTTTGTGTGGTTGGATTGGGTTACTTAATACTTGTCTGACCAATCTGAAGTAGACTTGTCCTCTTTAATTATACTTTTAACTTCCATATCTTGAAGTTTCTTAGCTTATTTTAGTTGATTGTTTTGCAATTCTTGGAGTCAAACTTTCAGCAACATGATCCTTCTAAAATCTTAAGCGCAAATATGCTTTATGTTCACATAACTAAACACACAATTTCGTGGCAATCATCCTGAAGTTATTTAGTAATTTATCCATGTCTTCACTTGTTTGTATTATCGATAGATGATTTGAGATATTTGTTTTCCTGCATGATTTGGTTTATGCTATCCTTTGTCAGATTCTCAACCCAAATCCAGATGCCATGTCAAAGATGATTACTGAAAATGCAAGCGAGGAATTTTTGTACTCGTTAAGTAACTATTGCGCTCTTCAGGTTGGCACACAAACTGCATATGCTTTGTTTTGTTTCCTTTATATTCATCATGGGTTTCTAAAAGGTGGCATTTGCTTATCTGCATGTCAATATGTAGGGAAGTTAATTTTGATAAAATTTTTAAGCCACAAAAAAAATGTCATATGCTGTTCCCTGATAATTTATTGTAATGCCTTTGAGTGTTTAGATGGTGTTTTACCCCTTTTTTTACCTATTTTATAATTTAGATAATTCTGTATTGGTTAAAATCCTTAGATAAAGAGGATCCTTTGTCTATTATAAATGTAACTTTAAAAACGACAAATAGATCCTTGACAAGATTATGTTATGGAGCATTTGTTTATAACTGGAAGTGCAGTTAAGATGGACCAAAAAAAGGCAAGCTGAAAGTCCAATTAAGTAATGTAAAATTATTTGTACAAAGCTCAATGGCCGCAAAAGACTCATGTAACTACCTGGGACGTTACTGCTTGTTGTTGTTCGTGTATATAGGGTCTTGAAATTGTAAGCTTTTCTCCGCTAAGTAAGACTAAACTGTTATGGCTGGATACAATATCTATGTGAGCTGCACCAATGCCTTTTACTTTCCAATTGTAGTGGGTGTGGGTTTTTGGGTGAAGATATATTCTACTTGCAGTGTAATGGTATAACTATGTGTTGTTGAAAATTAGAAGCATCTTTGTAAGAAGCAGGACCTAATCTAGTAGCCAAGGAATCTACCAAAGAATGAATGATTAGTAGCCAAGGAATCTACCAAAGAATGAATGTTAATACTTTGCAATAGTTCAGAATAGTTGTGCAGAATGGGGCCTTTAGAGACTCAAAGGAATTTGCCGTATAAAAAAATTTATGGGACAAGCTGTAAAAACCTGATTCATTTGTACATGGTGGTTCATGAATTGGCTGTATGCATCTGAAACTTTCATGAGAATCACATGCAATTGGAATTCATGCAAACATCCCAGCTACTTTACACTAGTCAGTATATGAGGTTACAAATAGTGTTAACCAAAATGCCAAGTATTGGTCGGATGACAGAGTCAGACAAGCTTTTACCCATTGTGTGGTGTTGGCTATTGATCACAAACTCGAAAACAAAAGGGCTCATGGAAGAGTCAGCTAATTGATATCAATGGAAGAAGAAAAAGTAATGCCCATCAGACACCTGTTGCAAGCGGTGCAACGACCCATCCTTAGCCCCTTTGTTGTGAAATTGTTATGAGCTTATGAAGTTTATCTTTTTATTGCATTGCCCATAAAGTGTTTGTGTGATGTTTATTTGTGTTACCCTGAGTTTATAACTGGGAGGAGCAACAATGGCAGCTTTTACATGCATTCACCTTCATTAATCCGCTTGCAAGTCCCTTTGGGACTGCACAAGGTTATGGGGAGATTGACCCTTTGCAAACAGAGACCGCAAGGGTGCTGTACAACTTAGACCAATTGCTGACCCTAGCAGAATATAATATTATGCTATAATGTAATTTGTTGTAGTATGTCAACGACTCAACAGGTTCATTTTGTATTCTTTTCTGAATTATAATTTGAAAGGAAAATTCTGTTATTGTGGTCGTTAAGTAGCTTGATCAATTGGGAACGTTGTGTTCTTTGTGACATGAAGTCATATATTCCCAGCTGTTAACACTTTAGATGCATGTAGGTCTGTTAAAAGGCACCTTCCACTAAATTTATTTCTTAGTGGCATCATCCAACCATAAGTTTATCTTATTACAAATTTCTGAACAACCATCATGAAAACAGAGATGTTACCTTGGTCATGATATTATTTCACATCAACCCAATTAGTAAAAAGTTCACAAGTTAGAAGAAGGCACAGTCTAGCAACTATGCATGGAACCACTTGAGAAAGCAAAGTCCCTAACAGAAGTGAATAGTGATCTTTGATGTAAAGAAAATGTATAAAGAAGAAATGTTTTGTTTACTTCTTTACTTTGTAAAACATAAACAATAAAGAAGAAATGTGTCCTAATATTCTCTTAAGCACCCAACACATCACGAAGTACCAGACATGTTTGAGAGTTTCAGATATGTATTAGTGTCCGACATGCACACGGTAATCCTTTTGAAGTGTTTGTGCTTTATGATTCGTAGCTGTCCTCTCATGTCTAGTGAGATGTTCCATCCTTGCCTTTTTACTATCAATTATGTGAATTTCATTTTATATCATTGTGGGTTCATTTTGAAGATGTTGGACTGCATATGTACTTTTTTTGTTATTTATTTTGCTCCAGTATTATGTTTAAAGTTTTTGTGACAAATGATATGGTTAGTAGTTCATGACCTGAAAGGCCAGTAACTTTCTAGGTCTCTAGTGCCTTTTGGAAAATAATCATTTCAATATGAATATTAGTTTTGCAACCAGTTCTGGGTCCATTCATCTATGTTATCCTAGTTCTGCATGACATTCAGACTTTGCAAGAAATTTATGCCTGTATAGGCTTGTGCATGCAAGATAAAATTCAGTTGAGCAATCTTTGTTACTTTCTTAAATGAAAGCCTAAAACAATTGAAATTGATATTTTTGGATCTCTTATCTTTCCTTTTAGTTTACTTTCTAATTCAGAATGGTAGATTTTCTATATGTCATATCCTTCTATGATTTATAATTGTTGCATAAAACTATCAAACTAGGGCTTTGTTGAGGATCAATTTGGCTTGGGTTTAATTGCACGAGCTGTTGAGGAAGGAATTGAAGTCATAAAGCCTATGGGAATTATGGTATTTAATATAGGAGGACGTCCAGGGCAAGGTGTTTGCAAACGATTGTTTGAACGTCGTGGTTTCCATATCACAAAGCTTTGGCAAACAAAAGTTATGCAGGTATATGAAATTGACAATCTTTGACTAAATCTGACTGTGACTGCTTGATTACCTAAAGACATCCCTGGAAATCTATATTTCTTGAGTTTTTGCAGTCAAGATCATTTCGTATTCTGTTACTTTCAAGTGTAATATGTTTTCCTTGGTCAACATTGTTCTGAAAATCTAATATAATCCAACTGAAATGAGTTGTCGTAGGCTGCTGATACAGATATTTCAGCCTTAGTTGAAATTGAGAAGAACAGCCATCATCGCTTTGAATTTTTTATGGGTCTTGTTGGTGATCAGCCTATTTGTGCTCGTACAGCTTGGGCATATGTGAAGTCTGGTTGTCGTATTTCACATGCTTTGTCTGTCTATAGTTGTCAACTTCGCCAACCAAATCAGGTGCATTATTTGTACTTTCTCTTTTGTTCTTTTAGAGAAATTTGTGCAGTGCGCATAACTAACAATTTGTAGTATGTTGGCAGGTGAAAACCATATTTGAATTTTTAAGAAATGGTTTTCGAGAGGTCAGCAGCTCCTTAGATCTGTCATTTGATGATGATTCTGTTGCTGATGAAAAGATACCATTCCTAGCTTATCTTGCTAGTGTATTAAAAGAAAATTCATTTCTTCCATATGATCCCCCAGCTGGAAGTATGCGTTTTAGAAGCCTTATAGCTGGATTTATGAAAGTATACCATCACATTCCACTAAGTGCAGATGTAAGCAGTTAAAATCTGCACGCCACCTTTCTACTGCAAGAAGTTTATTTCCTGCGCCTGCTTATATGTGAATGGTCTACTTTTAGAATTGGAATTTGCAAATGCTACTGTTGTTTACAGATTAAGTCACAGAAATCATAGCATAGATTGTAGACCATAAGCATGTAAAATTTGATGATTCTTCATGAACTTGTCATAAAAGCTGGACATGCATTGAGTGTCACTTGCTTTTTAAGTCAATTTTGTAATTGTTTTATCTCTGGTCAGACATCAAACATGCCACTCCAGTCTAGATTGTTTTTCGGTTTTAAGTTTGCATTTACATATTTATTGATATAGGTTTTGGCCAGTGGTGTTTCATGAACACTCTTCATGATGATACTATGAAGATATGAGGCCCATTTGTAGTCTAATTCTGCAAGTTGCATAATTGGCAACTCTTATTAGGAAAATCTGTACTAACTTATATACAGCAAGATGATAGAACTTCCTCTTGTTGAAGAGTACCACATGAAATGGTTTCTCCAGATGTGTGACAAAATTTATGTATTTCATATATTTCTTAGTTATCACTACTGCAATAGTATTATGTTCTCTAATGCTGATAAGTGAATATGCTTCTAATAAATGTTAGATTCAGTGAACAGGTGTTCATGCAAACCTGTTTAGTGCATTTGAGTGGGGTGCAATATTTGGCTTCATATGCTTGTGGTTTTCTGTTAGATTATTCTTATAGTTGCTTCTATTAGTCCCCCAACTCCTGCTAATTTTTGCATGATATGTGTAGCTCTCAGAGCTACAATGACTTATTCAATTTAGTTATTTTGATCAAGCTAATTTCTGTTTGCTAATAGACACAATTTCTTTGAACTTTGAGCTTCATTGGTTGGTTGCAGTGTCCTGCCTACAGTATTTTACTCTCTAATTTTAATATATGATGACAATCATAACCTCATATACTGGCCACAGACAGTTAGCTAACTGCAAATACATGACTGTTTAAGGAGAACTATGATTTTAGAACTGTAACCTCTGGAATCAAACAGCAGAAAAGCATTCTTTTTTATGATTTTTACTGCAGCTAGATTAAATTACAAGTCACTTACTCCAACTTTTGACTTTTGTTTAGTTTTCTTTTAACAATAAGTTAAAGGAAGTTTACATAGTTGAAATAAGTTAAAAGTTTCAAGCATGCATTATCCCCAAGCCAATGTTGCAGTGCCCCTGGTTCGGTGTAGCTTTCTTGGAACAATTTTTCTTTTATAGTGCCAAGTGGCACAGACTATAGCTTCATACATCAACTAGTATAACAGCTCATCGTGGTCATAATGACATAGAAATGTTTTTAATTGAAGGTGTGGACATTATTAATTGATTGTGGATTTATTAAAACAGAACAATCCACTACCTAATTTCTGTAAGTTTCATGCTTAAACCTTCCATGCAATTTTTTAATAATAATATGAGAAGTAATATATACTCATATGAGTTAACAATTACTTGAGTTGCTATTTTTGTCTATTGAAATATTTATAGGTGTCCATATAGCTGATCCAAATAGTTGGGAGCATGACATGTATTTTTTGACACTATTATAACCAAATACAATTATTGTGTCGTCAATGTGAAATAAACGGTGCCATATATTTGAGTCTCTTTTTGTGCTTGGTGTTGTTCTAAAAAAAACAAAGGGTGGCATGTTGACTTTATATGTTTTCTGGTTTACAAGAATGTTACAGTATTCCCTTCAAGATCTGTGGCAATTGAGAATGCTCTTCGGCTCTTCTCTCCACGACTTGCTATTGTCGATGAACATTTGACTAGAAACTTGCCAAAGCAATGGCTGACATCTTTAGAAATTGAGGTAAGGCCCTACATCAGCTATGCTCGCTCTTGCCCTTCATGGTTGTACATATGTGTGCATGCCTTTAGTACCCTGAAAAAAAGCTATGCTTGAGCTCAGAGCTTACTGTGCTTCTACTAGCTTGATGAAGGATTTTGTATGTAACTGTTTGGCGCACACTTGCACATGTCTTGTAAAATAATGACGCCATAAGCTAGCACTGTTCATGTTAATCATATGATGGGATTTCGTTTACATCAGGGAACTAATGATGAACTTGAAGATATCATTACCGTGATTGAGGCACCGCGCCAGTCTGACCTGATGATTGAGTTGATTAAAAAGCTAAAACCACAAGTTGTAATTACTGGCATGGCTCAGTTTGAGGCCATTACAACTTCTGCATTTGAAAATTTATTGAATACTACTGAAGAGCTTGGTGCCCGTCTTTTCTTGGATATATCAGACCACTTTGAGATTTCAAGTCTTCCTGGATCAAATGGAGTGTTAAAGTATCTTGCCGGCAAGAGTCTGCCGTCACATGCAACTATCTTGTGTGGACTAGTGAAAAATCAGGTAAAAACTATTTGTGTCTCGATTTCAGCACTTGAACTCAAATGCTTTATGTAATTGGAAATTTGGAGATGGGCAAAATTTTAAGAACTTGGTTTTGTTGTTTGTCCATATATTTCTTTGGTTTAACAGGAAGCTCTTTAGCAAATTATTTCCTCAAGAAACACCTATTTAGCCAAGAGAAAGTTCCTCCACATCATGACATTGATTGTAGGGCATGTTTGATTAAAATTTTACTATATATTTACCCTTTCCTATATTATCTTTAGGACAGTTCTCTGATTTAACAGTTTAGATCAAAAAATTAAATAAGTAGTCTTAATGGCTCTTTGAATGGTGGAATAATAGTTTTCTTCTCAGGTTTATTCTGATTTAGAAGTGGCCTTTGTCATATCTGAAGATGAGTCTGTATATACAACATTGCCGAAGACTGTGGAGTTACTGGAAGGGCATACAGCATTATTTAGTCAGTACTACTATGGCTGTCTGTTCCATGAGCTGCTCGCATTTCAGCTAGCAGATCGTCATTCACCTGCAGAGGTGCCTCTCTCTCTCTCTCTCTCTAACATGCATGCACAATCATTCACGTGCATTCATGTTCTTAGCATTGCTACTGGCAGTTATGATGATTCTTGCAACAAATCTTAAGTAAATACCTGTAATTTTCTGCATAGTTTTGTGTATATTGTGCAGAGGGTACGTGCGGACAGAAACTCGGCTAAGTTGATAGGATTTGCAAGTTCTGCTGTTTCTGCCGTAAACAATGCCGAGCTTTCCATCACTGATCATAAGGACAATTTACTGATTCACATGGATGTAGATCAAAGCTTCTTGCCAATACCTTCTGCCGTAAAAGCATCCATCTTCGAGAGCTTTGCAAGACAAAACATGGTTGAGTCTGAAACCGATGTTCGTTTTGGAATTCAGCAGCTGGTAAGGAATAGTTATGGGTTCCCATGTGATGGTTCTTCAGAGTTCATTTTTGCGAATTCTCAGTTAGCCCTTTTCAACAAGTTAATTCGTTGCTGCATACAAGAAAAAGGCACCTTCCTTTTCCCCTCGGGCACAAATGGGAATTATGTCTCTGTGGCAAAGTTCATGAATGCAAACATTTTGACTGTCCCAACACAATCAGAAATAGGTTTTAAGCTTGTTCCAGATACACTTGCAAGCTTGCTTGGGACCTTAACAAACCCATGGTTGTACTTGTCTGGACCCACCGTCAATCCAACAGGCTTGCTATATGACAACAAAGAGATTAGTGAGATACTTGCTGTCTGTGCCGAGTATGGTGCCAGGGTGGTAATTGATACTTGTTTCTCAGGTCTAGAGTTCCGCAGAGATGGTTGGGAGGGATGGAATCTGAAAAATTGTCTTTCGTCACTTACATGTACTACTACTAACTCATCCTTCGCTGTGTCTCTGCTTGGTGGGTTGTCATTTGAGTTGCTCACCGGAGGTCTTGAGTTTGGATTCTTGATTTTGAATGAGCCAACCCTGATCGATGCATTTTCTACCCTACCGAGCTTGGGCAGGCCACACAGCACAGTCAAATATGCCATCAAAAAGTTGTTGGGTCTCCGCGGCCAAAGGTTTCAGCAGTTCTCTCGAGTCATGGATGAACAGAAAGATATTCTAAGAAGTCGTTCTGATTGCTTGATGAAGGTATATACTGTTATGCATTTAGAGTTTCAAATCAATTCAAATATTATGAGGACCATAGATAGCATAGCATAGAAGAAATTGGACAAAACAATGTTTTAGCTATATAGTTCATGACTCACGAACTCGAACTGCAGTCTTTAACTGCTTGATAAATGCTATATATAAAATATTTATTTGTTTATTTATTTGTCTACTTTTGACTTGTATCCGAGATGGATAAGTTCACCCGAATGGAGCCTCAAAGGTTGGCCATAAGAATCAAAAGTTGTTTTAAGACCATCTCATCTTACACTTTTACTTCTTTATTTTATTTTTCAAGTAGACAGACTTTCTAAATTATCCTGGTACATGTTCCTTCTCTTTTGCAGACACTCCGAAGCTGCGGATGGGACGTCGTTGGCTGCTGTGGTGGTGTTTCTATGGTAGCTAAACCAACAGCTTATCTGGGCAAGATGCTTAAATTAGATGACTTCGAGGCCAAGCTTGATGCTACCAATTTCAGACAAGCTGTTCTAAAAGCTACTGGTCTGTGCATTAACAGTGGATCATGGACTGGAATTCCGAACTACTGCCGCCTCGCTTTCGCTCTCGAGAATTCCGAGTTTGAACGGGCATTACAATGCATCACTCGGTTCAAGAAGTTGGTTCTCGAGAATTGAGTATGCTTGACTACCTTTCTTTCTCATGTGATGTGACTCAGAAATAAATAGAACCTACAAAGGTCAGGTCAGAGCATTTTCCATTGGGGATCTGTTACATACAGCTGATCCATGCCAATGTTTTCCTTGTGGGGTATCCCCCCTCCAGGGGATTTCACGTAAGCTTCGTTTAGCTTTTTCTGCCTTGGAATTCTTCGTCGGCTCATGGCTTGGTTTCTGTGGCCTGCTCACATGGACATGAACCGAGCTGTAGTTTCTAAGAATGCAGACTCATAATTCGTGTCATCTACCAGGTTTGAAACTTGAATGCAGATGATGATAGCTATCGATCTATCAATCGGTAGTTCCATGATGGTAGCTGTAACTCGATGTCTTTGTTTTACACTTAGCTCTTTCAGGTTTTAATCTCTGGCACTAAGTCTTGCAGGATTCTCATGCGTCAGGAAATTGAAGACACGGGTTTGATCCTCATCGGGAGAGAATCTCTTTCTGAGTTCGGGAATCAAAAGGTAATTTCTCCTTTGAAAGTGGGCGGGCTAGAGATCAGGTCAGATTTAGCATACGAGCTAACTACCGAGATTAACATTATCAGATTGGAACTCTAGAATCATCCATTTCAACATGTTATACGATAATCAAACTTAAAAAAGAGCCAGAAATCTCTTCCGTCAACCTTTGGCTTCATGATAAGGGTTGGTTATGGGTGTAGGGGCTGCAATTTTCTACATATGCAGGAGCTTTCTAGTATCATCGCTTTTCATCGTCATCGACATGTCATAGGATAATCAAAATTAAAAAGAGCTAAAAATACGAAGGAGTTTTTTAGTATCATCTTTTCAATGTCAAATCTGTCATCGATCTACCTTACGTCACCTAAGCGTTGTCTTTTCACTGTCAACCCGCATCCGACCTCATGTCACCTAAGCGTTGACGAAGGAAACCGACGATCCAAGACGTGTACAGTCAGTCCTAAGGGAGACTGAAACAGGAAACAGATGAATGGGTTGATGACCTCACATTGTCTCTAATCTCCATTCACACAACCGATTGAAGACGAGCACCTGACTTCCTCCGTTTAGATGATATTATTGACTTTGATACCTCGAAGATCACAAAGCCTCCGTATATCTATCTGCACATGAAGATTAGACTCTTTTACTCTCTTTTTTTTATTTTCTACCGGATTACTATAATTGATAGATTTAGAAAACGATCGATGATCAGAACTTACGGAGGTTCTGTCATTATATAAACGAAAACAGACGTTATAAATAGAGATAAATTGAAGGAGTCCCTCCAGATTAGGAGGGAGTTGGACTATTATTGCACTCATGTACTGACTGATCTTTCCCACACAAAAGAGGAATAGTGCAGACACAAACTCCTCCAGAGAATGCAAATCAAAGTAGTAGAATAATTTGATTTTCTGACTTAATGACAATGAGAAATGCAATTTACCTTCACCCTGTTTGATCCGGAGAACCTGGCTCCGACAGTCCGTGGCACGGATCGAATTGAAAACCACCAAGAATCTCATTCCAAGGCCATGGTGGCCTCAAACCCTCCTCCGTAACATAACCTGATGTGGCTGCTTGAAGCTTCTGATTGACAATTGAATCAGCTGTAACCTGAGATCTATGGGGGCCGTCGCTCCTGGTACTGTTGCTGTCACCATTACCCCCGCTGCTGCTGTTCTTGTTGCTGCCGTTGGTAAGATGGTGCTGAAGAGCAACTTGTAGGCCGGTGATCAGAAAACGCTGGTGGGAGGATACGTATGGACTGGCCGTGTGGATGACCACATCGCACTGCCGACACAGTAGAGCACGATCCTCCAAGCAGAAGAAATACCCAGCTTTCTCCTGTAATCCACAGTATGAAAGATTAATATTAAAGTTATGCTAAGAGAAGAAACATTAAGACAATCTATATCTGCACCAAATTGTCACTACCAAGGCCAAAATTTTCTGGCCGTGTGTTTTAACCTGCTAGGGGAGAACAGGCAAATGTGGTGGGAACCGATATTCCACACTAATTAGATTAAAAAAAAGATTGTGAGATTGTCTACAAATAAAAAGAATGGAACAATTTGAAGCACCAAAGAGAATTAACTCCTGCTTGGTGGCAACAAAGAAGCAAGAAAGGTTCTGCCTTGAGTGGTAGGTCAAAGCAATAAAAGTAGGATTTTTATCATATAAGAGATCGAACTTATGAGGGCTATCAACCACCAGAGTACATTTGCATTAACGAATGCACCTGTCGAAAGCACAACTTCATCGGTCACTTAGTTCAGACTTCAGAGCACCAGATTACATGCTAGAAGTCCCTGCCTTCTTTTTCCAGAAAAATAGCTTGTCACATAGCATGCTTTTTATGACCAAAAACATTCAACGACTGATTACAAATTATAGTTTGCAAAGAGAACTTATCATGCTCAAAGAGAAAGGAACAGAAGCAGACAAATGGAAGGCATAACGTGTTTTTCACAAGCAAAAGTCAGCAAGCCACCAAGCAATCCATCTAATGACTGATTTCAAATCATCGTTTGGAAAAGGCACTTATCATGCTCGAAGAGAAAGGAACAACAGCAGACAAGTCGAAGTCATAGCATGTTTTTTTATGAACAAAACTCAGTAAGCCACCAAGTGATCAATCTAATGACTGATTACACATTGGAGTTTAAAAAGAGCACTCATCATGCACGATATAAAAGGAATAAAAGCAGACAAATGGAAGGCTCAGCAGGTATACTCTTAATACAAAAGTGTAGCTATAAGAACTTAATATATCTTGGTCCCAAAAATAATAAACGAAGCTTACAGTAACCATCAGTTCACAGTGCATCTACTTCATATTGAGAGTTGTACCTTATGAATTCTATATCTTCTTCCTCTCCAACAATTGTAGAAAATTATCTAGCTTTGTGTGGCATCCTTTACAAGTTAGCAACCAACACTATACATTTGGATCAAAGCTTTCCTAAACATTATTCTTTTTTCTTTTTTTTTTATCTTCAAGGTGTATAAAACAAAACTAATCACTCTCTTCTTAAGAAAACGGATATAAGACTTCAAAACGAACAAACTCTTTTTTTTTTTTTGTCAATTTTTATAAACTTCTAGCATTTGAACACACACACACACACACACATACACATAAGAGTACATATATATTACTCACTGCATCTTAGTGGTTACATGTCCGACTGCTTAACACATTCAGAGGATGTGTATAGCAATTACCACAATATTTAACTGCACCTGTTGGGACCAAATAACCGAAGATGTCAATAGCTTGTACCATATCTGAAGATACAAGGTTGAGTATATGCTATCATTAAAAACGTCAGTTATCATCCATCAGGCCATCCAATAAAACATAATTAGTTATAGTTTGCAATGTGTATTTTCCTAACACCTGAACCAAATGGGAAGTAGACAACAATGAGAAAAGCATTTGGTCCCTTTGACAATGAAATGAAGTATGAAAAGATTGTAAGTATCTTTTTAGCGCTCATCATAAATGCAGAAGCCACAAAATTAAGTGAGAAAGAGGAAGCTTGTTGGTAGAGGAGTTATGTGACAACTTTCTTGGGCCGCATTTATGAAGCAACTGCTTTGTGTCTGCAAACTAAATCAATCTCCGCTAATTTATTTCTTTCTGTTGTCACTAGATAAGAGCCCATCAACCTTTTTCCATCGTGTACCAGATGAAGATTCCAGTTTCACTTACAGAGAATGGACTCTCAACCTAACAAGTTAGATAGGTCTGCTGAAGAAAAAGAAATTTGACTACTTGTTACAGACGCATTCTAATGAAGATATATAACAGCATCATGTGTAAATAGTAGAATTTGCATGCACTCCAAACATTTTCATGCAAGAAACTCCAAGACTTCATTATAATCCCTGTTCTAATTTACATGACAAGAAAAGTTTCTCTTATTTTTCCTAGAAAAGAACAGGGAGGTGTAGGCATGAACTCCAACCTTTTCAAAAAGTAGGATTCTGCATGTTGATTAAAATGAAACACCCCTCCAAAGACTAGAAAGGGATTGATAGAGTAGCCAACTTAGCTCTTGACCAATTTTCAACGTCAGAGTAGACACAAACATATAAACAAGGCTGAGCTCAAAAGCATTTCAATCTCAGCTGAGCAACTATCCAGCAAGGGCAGGGTGCTTAACAATAGGAAGAACATGCAATATCCTCTTTTCTCTTTTTCTTATGAGATTTGATATCTAAAGCAAACTGTTTCAAATCAAGGGAAAAAAAGAAAAAGGTTGGTTATTAAGTAAGAAAATTTGCATTATAAGATCTGGATAGGATGTGCAAAGCAATTTTTCGTATCCTAAAGCTGCAAGCAACACTGTACTAAGTGAATACCAACTAAATCAATCAACTCCAACTCAAACAAGTCCAAGAGCTGTTTTTTTTCCCAGTTATTTTTGTTTTTATTCAAGAAATTAGAAAGAAATTAAAGAGCAAAGTGTGCAACAAGAAAACTAAATTAGTGTATTTAGAACTAGAATTCTTTACCGAAGGGCATCAAAATGAGTATTAGGAGAGACTGAGAGATAGCAACCTGACAAATATCACAGTTGGGGATCTGCGAAGAACAAGAGTTGGGATTAGTCGGGAGGAGAGGGACTCGCTGGTGCTTCCCGGCGAGCTTGTTGGCGGCATGGACCTTCTCATCGCAGCTCCAGCACAGCGCGGCCTCGTCGGCACAGCACAGCACCGCCGCCGCCGCCCTCTCGCACACGTCACACTGTATCTTCATCCCGCTCCGCCTCCTCCTCCTCCTCCTCGTCGTCGAGCAACCAAGCTGAAGAAGACCAGAACTAGAGCAATGGAAGATCACAAGATATCACATGAAATCAGCGTCCGGAATCCACGGACCAAACCACCAAACACGATTAGATTTTCTTGAGAACATCTGACAAGGACAAATACCTAACGAAGATATTACACCTCTCTGACGAGAAACATCGAGCGAGATGAAAATACAGAAGATCGACTTCCGGGTGAATTCAAGAACCAGATGAACACCACCAGTTCCAAGACCGGCGATTCGTCTGCAGCGGCCAGTGGAGATGGAGTTGCAGAAGCTTCGGCGGCTCAGGGCAGAGAGGAGGGAGATCGAGCGGGCTTTAAATGGAGATGAAGCCGCCCGACATGGAAGTGGAAGAACAGCCCAAACCGAAAGGGATATTTTTCACGACATTGCAGATTTGACCATTACGTGGATTTTTGAGATAGTTCCGAACAATCCCGAATCCAAATATTCTTATACGATCTTTTTCTTTCCCAAACAGTACCGGCCGGTATTTTAAAACTCTGTTTAAATTTTAAAATATATTTTTTTTCTTATTTTAAAAATTATACATATATATATATATTTATATATATTTAAATTTGTTTGAAATTTACTGAATCAAACCCATGAGCATCTGCATATGTCAAACCAAGAAACGAAGTCCATAATTGAAAATTAAAAAAAAAAAACAACACATGAATTTTGAAAAAAAATAAACCAATAGATTATTCAAATAATTGCACCTGAAACGAATTAATTTGTTTTACTTTCTCAAAATTCATCGTAAGAATTTTCAGCTTCAACGCTTACAGAGTTCACAGATAAATAGTCTTGATGTTTATTATTATTATTATTTTATAAGATCACATCTGTGAGATACCATTTGTTTGGGTGTGGGACTGATGAGAAGCTCACCAACCAATTTCAATCACGAGTTATGGCTTTCTGATGCCTCCTAACACAATTACGAGGTAATTGCAGGAGTACATACAGTCGACCAATGACTCCATGTGCTCAGATTTGAAGACCATTCATTACCTTTGTTCCTAACAAAGGCATAATGTTGGTTACCTCTTCGTTATTGGTTGGGAAGTAGGGATTATATATAGCCACAGACAACACGCCACAAGAGTGTCAATAATTCTGTACTCTCTCTCTCTCGAGGACCACTTAACCTATAAAGTGACTTAAAGAAAGAGAGAGAAGACTGTTTTTTTTTTTTTTTTTTTTTTCTGGATAGTAGTTTGTCCAAAGGAGCACTCAAGATTCATACAGTCAATAACATTAAATGCATGAATAAAATGCTAATACAAATTTGTGAAGAAATGCCATCGAGCATGCTTGCATTTGTGTGCTACTTCTAAATGATACTGTTGTATTTGTATCTATTGAGAAGCCATACAGAGTTAATTATACAAAATTGTTGTTTTATAAATGAATGAATGTATATTTACAAGTACACGTAAAAGTGGTTCTGATGTCAAGCCAAGTTTCGTCACAATTTCTGATAACTTGGGAACTCCAAAAGTTGTTTTTGAGCTTATTTTAGGGGGTTATCTTGATGTATTTCTGGCGACACATGCTAATTTCCTGTTTTCCTCGAGCTTCACTTGTCCTTGGTTAACTTACCAGTAGGTGGCCCAGTTACAACAAAACAATGGAGACCTAGTAGGGTTCACCATCACGTTGTCTGGATTCTTATCATCTGCGGTCCTAATTAAGAAATCCCACATACCTCTCCAACTTTGATATTTCTGAAGCATTCCCAACTTGGGTTAGTGGGTTTTGACAAAAATCATTGGTCCATAACACATCATGAGATTATGACGAGCCTTTCTCTTCTCTATTTGTCACTATGCTTTTGACACCAGTGTTCAATACAGAAGCCTAGAACTGGACATGGAATGACCCAACTCACCACTCCCTACTCATCTTTCATCACAGATCAGATTTATCATTGCTAGGTCACTTAATTATTCTTCATGGAACATGATTTATGTCACACCCCACTTGGGGTCCAAACTTGGACCACATATCTTATTGGAATTTGGACTCACACAGCAAGAATGAGTCAATCCAATACCAACTGAGATGGATATATCAAAGAAACAAATGGATTTCATGATGATGGGCACAAGAGATTGTTCTGGCCCCATCATTTATCTGGTGGAGTGTGATAAAAAGGCTCCATGGCATTACCAGACTGCCATTACTATATTGTGTGGTTCCTAGGTTTTGAATAAGGAATTTCTATGACCTTTGATGGGTCATTCTCCTTACTCCATATCTTCCCTTCTTTGGTACTTGCATTGACCCGACGGCTGATCACTGCACTCTACAGATTAGAGAGGAAGATTAATAAGTTTTTCAAGCAGGCGATGAATAAAGTTTTAAAATAAATTAGTGGGTCAATTTATTCAATGAAGTATCAAAGTAAATTTATGCTGGTACAGATGTTCATACAAGGGCAACAAAATTGCATGATAAGCTTGTTAACACATATCAGAAACAAAATCCTTGCTAGTGCAAATGCACCATAAAAAAATATTTGCACCGGCAAGTGTGGTCATGTCCATATGGATCCCACTAATTCAAATTGAAATTTTTGTGCAAAAAAAAATTCAGAGACAGAATTAAAAAACAGAATAAAAAAGATGTCCAGATTAAAAAATAAAAAAAGGAAAGACTGATTAAGCATATGCATTTAATCCCTTAATGGGCAATTCCCACAAAATAGAGTGAATAATAAGAACAACAGGTTTGTAAAAATAATACAACGAATAAAAAAATGAATAATTAGAAACTGTTTACAACTAAGTAATAATCAAAGAGAATAATAAGAAAACAAATCAACTTGTGTGCCATGCTCCCTAAATCATCACTTATGTAAACTTTGGTTCTATTGATATGCTAATATAAGAAATAAAATGATGCAGGCAAAAACTCTTCAAGTACATAAATATAAATCTCTAGTGCATAAATGTTGGTTCTATATTTGCATATCATGGTGTACCTTGGTTGTCAGGGTCTGTACCAAGTTAGTAGCCACCATTAATCAAGCGAAATATATTTCTTATCACAAGTTCATATGAGCCCTAAATTTAAGCAAAACTTAGTTGTAGTTCTGTTGCTTCTGTAAACAGTAGTATATTGTCACGGACTCACGATATCTACACAATTGAATATTACATACTACTTAGGCCACTTTTTTGTTGCATCATTGCACCAATACTGTTTGGAAAACTATAACAAGTCCCACCACAGATTAATGTGTAGCAGCCAAGTAAAAGCTCACTAAAACCGTGGAAATTGTACTACAATACAGCATCAGATCACCAAAAAAACAAAATTATCAACAGTAAATACCTCTCAAAGATGGAAAATTGAGCATATGAAGCATTAAGGAGAGAAAAGGTGCCAACCTGATTTTTTAGAGTTAATTACCAATTGAGCTGTCTCGATTTGGAGAAACACACATGAAGCTAATCAAGAATCAATAGGATAAGCCCTAAAACAAGAAATCCAGTACACACAGATTACTCTTCTACATCAATAGTCTATAAACACTTGCCCACAGCAATCCGAGAAACGACATCGAGAGCAGCAGAAAAAACAGAGGAAAGCGAAAAAGCACAAGAAAAAACCGGAGAAAAGATGAAAAATCGTAGCAACCCCGCAGAAGTTTTACCGAAGGGTTCGCGAGAAACTTCCCGCAAGCGTTGATGCGACGGCTAGGGTTAGGGCTTGAGCCAGACTGGGAGAGGAGTCGGAATCGGATTAGGGGTTGCTCACGGGCCAAAACCGTGGGCCTATCTTTATAATGGACCGTCCCTGTTTAAATGGACCGGTCCGGGTTAAATTTGGATCTGTGTCTCAAGACCATTAACTTGAACCGGCTCAAATGCCGCTTCCAACGTTAAAATATCATTTAATTATAAGGAAATATATGATTTTTTTAAAAACATGATATATATATATATATAGCCTTAGAAATCTCGCCCTTCAGAACTAGTACGCGGCCCCGCCACCGGCACTTCGCGGTGAAGACGTTCCTCAGCGAGTACAGGAAACGGAAGATAAGGTAGGGAGAATGCGATTCGCAGTCACGAGGGCTTGCGGTGGCGGCGGAGGGAGGGCTCGCACTGGCGCCCTCTACATTGGAGGGAGCACGACCGCGCCCATCGAGACCCCGTCACTTTTGATATCGACGCGAAAAGGCCTCCCAACTTTCGTATCCCGCGACCACCTCGCCGCCCTCCCCACGCCCGATTCTCTTCTCCTTCACGTCAGCCCTCTGCACTTGTAAGTTTTATATAACTTTTTCTTTTCTGAATCATCCCACTAAAGGTGTTCGTCGAAATGCCTATTTGGAGTTGATATCGATTTCGTTATCAAATTATGATCTTGCATTGATATTGAAAATTCCTTGATATGCTTCCCGTGCCAATCTGATATTCAAAAGCGTGATTTTGATCGTTTGTGTAGTATAAGCACTTGGCTTGCAGGTCTCTGAGAGAGGTTTCTAAGGTTTGAAGATGTTATTTGCTAGTTGAGGCTGATTTCCCTTGCATTTCCCATTGCATTTTCCTAAAAGCTATTCTTTATTACTTTTTCTTTAAGGTACCCTACATGGACAAACGAGTCTTGATGTTTTTTTGTTGGGGTTTGCTGGGTCCTGAGATTTTACTTCGTCGTTTGAGGTGTAAGAATAGTAGGCTGTGGCTAATAAAGTGAATCATGCTTATGGAAACAAGTTTTTTGGTCACAGTAGAATCAGATTTTTACAAGATGATCCATGTCAAATATCAGTAGTTAATTACAGCAAATTGTCTTTTTTTCTATTTGACACTATGCTTTTTTAGTAAATTACATGTTGATTAAATCTCATTGTGGAAATCCGCAATATTTTTTAATCTGCTTGGTTTTGCTTCAAGAGAATGTGCTTATCGATGTTGTACATGTGAGGTTCTTTGCAGTTTAGATTGCCCTTCATCCAAAACTATTTCTAACATTGGAGGTCTGCATCAGATGCTGGGGCTGCATGAGCATTTTTTTGTTGCTGCCCCAAGGGATTCATTAGAGAGTCTACCTGAGAGTGAAGGCACTAATAAGCTCGGGGCTTCTTTTGAAACACCTTGTGGTCGTCGACTGGTAGTCCATATTTGCATGAAATTAGCTCCTCCTTATCATGCATCACAGGACAGAAAGTTGTGCAGTATTTTTTTTCCTCTTAACACTGTCATTCACTTTCTTCTTCTTAGATCAAGCCTTCAGCATATGTGGAAAAGATTGCTTCATTGAAGCCAAACTTGTGGGCTAGTATGGCAGATGAGGTGCCTGCTTGGGTTTCTGAAAAGAGAAATAAGACTTCTGTAGATCGAACATTGCGTTGGCTTGACGAATGCCTTGCTTTGGACCCGGTCTGTAAAGGGTTATGCTTTGAAACTTGCCATATATTGAAGTTTGCTAAACATATACGACATGTGAATTGGGGTGTGCTTTGTGATTGCTTTCTGTATGATGCATAAAAGGTGTACCAGAGTATGCTTTGTAGTAATTACCTTTGTTTTTTTGCTTATCCTTTTTTTATTAGCAGTATATATCTGTCCAGATTGGCATTTCTGAAATTTACCACCATTTATGAGCTGCATAAAATTTTTCTTTCATGTACAATGTTTATTTTTTGGCAAATTCTTTTCCTGTACTCCCTTCTTTATTTCTACAGATTTATTTTTTGAATGCTGTCTCAGATTTTCTTCTTGTATTATAAATTAATGTAGTTTTTTTGGAAATACATGTTGGTATTCTGCTTCAGTTATCTTTCTTGGTTGTATTGTGATTTAATGGACACATTGTTGCGTATGTATGTGTTGTAAAATCTGCCTCAGAAAAGTTGCAGTTTTATGACACCAAAAACTTTTATCCTTCGCTACGTTTTATTCTTGTTCTGCCACAAGTTTCTAGGCAATATTCAAGTTGGTGACCTCTGTACGGACCATCTAGATGTCTTGACAGTCCATCATGCTGCATTTGTGACTGAGAATGGCATCAGCACTAGTAATCTGTAATCGTGGTTCTAAAGTCTAAACATTGGTAGAGTTTTCTACCATGATAGTAAACTAGGCGACAAGCATAAGGACCAGGGTTGATATTTTTTCTTGCAGCTGGATTGATGTCTACTGCTTGCAGCTTGTCAATGCTTTTCTCCTTGAAAAAGGGTGGCCCGATGTACTAGGCTTCTGCTGATGCATGTCTGTGGGAGTCAAATATATACACCATCCTTACATAGAAGTTGTTTTTGTGACAAACTTTTGAAACTTAGGTCAAAATAGGATGACTTCATTCTATGCTGAATTATTCACACCATAGTCCATAGCTATGCATTCTAGCATGTGACTGTAGAACATAAAATGCTTTAGCTTACTGATAATAAATTTGCTTCTCACATGCAAATTATTAGAGGTTCACATTAACTTACTAGGCTCTATTTTCTAAATTAAGAATTTGGCATTTGGTCATCATTAAACATGCTATATTCTTTTTTTCTAAATTAAGATTTGGGGTTTGGTGATTATACTGTGATATCTGATCCAGGCAGGTGGGAAAACTATGTTAGGACTTGTTGTTGGTGGGTCCAATATTGAAGAACGGAAACACTGTGCAATCGAAGTGGCAACTCGGAATGTATCAGGTTTGATGAAATATTCTTAACTTTTAATATGCATATAGATGCCATTGCTGTTCCAGACAATGCATGTGCTATTGTTGTCTCTTATTGTTCTTTGATTTTCTTAATGTGTACATTCATCAGGCTGAGAACAATGCAACATTGGGTTTTTAAGAGATGTTTAGTTGCTATTGAATATCATGTCATGATTCTCAGTTAATTAGTTAACTGCTACTATCTGTTATAAGTTAATTGCTTAATATATAATTAATTGCACCCAATGTTTTTATCATGATTCCCAGATGTGAAAAGGACACCTTTAAGGTTGAAGTTCATTGGTTGTTGGCTAATGAACACAAAAGTATGATCTACATGCAGTTGCCAGCATAAACTGTAGATGATGATAGGTTTTGTAGAATGTTCTTAGACTGTGTTTGAAAGTATGAACATTTGTACTTATTGACCCTGGGATTTAGTATAGTTATCTGGTGACATGATCTGTCCCATTGGTTATATATGGTTTCTGTTTTCTGCATTCTCTGAGTAAATAACTGTTACCTTTTAAGATGCATTAGCTGTTTGTTTTGTTGTAAGTTGCTGCAACAAATGGAGCAAGCAGTCACTTGAGTTATATCATGTTATATATTCATCATATGACATGCATTTTATTTGTTTGATGCTTCTATTTTTTTTTATTGTGATTAGCAGAACTTTTATCCCACCACTGTAATCTATGTTCTGATACAAAATAAAGTGCCTATGTGATGCTTGATCTAGGTTTTTGGATTGGAGGTTTTGGGCTCGGAGAGAATGTGGAAGAACGCTCAGTTTTGCTCAATGCTGTTACAGTAAGTGATATGCAGATTACTGGACATTAATGGCCTATTAATAGAAAAGATTGCAGAAGTGGTGGTGTGTAGGCCTAAATATACACGCTGGTCTGCATACTCCTTTTGCATTATGTACTATTTTTACATGTGTTTGTAAATGTAATGAACAATTGTATTACGAACAACCACAAGTATATGCCATGTATATATCTCAGATGGTTGATTTAATATAATATACAAGATTAAGAATGAACCTACTTGATCCATAGAGCTTCTTTATGGTTATTATTGAGCTAGACATAATTTCAATGGTGAGTCATATGTCAATTAGGATATTAGAGATGCAGACTAGTTCAATTTTCATGATGCAATTACTTGATAGCCTCATAAATTTTAACTTAATTCTATCCAGTCATGGAATGTGAAGTGAAAACTGATTTTGTTGGGAAGTTGTTCTTTTATATTTTGCAAGATTGATTCAATCTTTATTTTTATCTGTTTCAAGTGCTATTTCAACCACAGTGGTTGTTTTGTTGCCTTGTGAGGTATTCTTGGATCTAGGTCTGTGTTGTTTGTCATTGTTTACCTTTAGGTATGTTGTTTACCGTTGTATAGTTTCAGGGCCATTTCATGAATGATTGCATGCATAAGCTTATGTTGTAAATGGCAGTATACCTTGTAGTCATGCACACTCTTTTTCCTGGATTCATTGTTTTAAATGAAGAACAATTAGCTGAGTCCATATGCAAATGCATCGTTCTTTTGGACACCCAAGAACAGTATGTGACTGACCTGTCTTGTCCCTTAATTTTCAATAGGGTTAGAAAATCAAGTTATGATCTTGAGGTCAAATATCCAAATAATGCTTCATGAATGATCACCTTGTTTTACTGGGACAATTTGTGCTTCGTTTATTGATCAAAGAGACATTTTAGCTTTCAAATTATTAGTGCTTCTATTAGTGCAGAAATTGGAGTCTTTCAAATATTTTTTTGCTTTATCAGTTCGTGTGTCAAGGTATGGAAATTAAAATGTCAATGCAGAAACTGAAGTCTTCAGTGGCATCTATTAGTGCTTCTTGCAGGATTATGATACTTTTTGGCTTATCTTTCAGGATAATCTCCCTGAGGAAAAGGTGCGATTTATATCTGGACTTTCTCTCCCAGGTATTGATGTTATACACCTAGCTATTTTACATCATCAAGACATACTTGTGCACTCGTGTTCTTTCTACTTTGACTGAAAACACAGATGATATTAATGGCTAAATCAGTATTTTGTTAATTTGTTAAAGCAGAGCTGAATGCTGGGTGAAATTTCTTTTTTCTTTTTTGTACCAGTAATTTGCAGTGACTCGCATGGTAGAAATGGTACATATCATTGAAATCAAATTCATAGATGTGAAAAAGCAATGGCATTCTTTTTGAATCCTTTCTAAAACTTGCACATTTGATTTGCTGTATCTTGCATACTTCTGTCATGGCCCCTTTATCGAACCTGTGTAATCTGGTTATGGCCCTTTTTCCTATTACCATAACCATTATCATGTACCATTAACATCTTCATTCCCAGTGCCTATATTTTCCTGTTGTGCTGTTAATTGACTTTATTATCCCAAATCTTTACTAATATGACAATCATCATCCTGGTCTATTTATCCTCATATCTCTGTTCAGTTATTTTTATACAATTTGTCTAGATAAGCAAAGTGTTCTTTATGGAGAACTATCTTGACAAAAAATTTTATTTTCATTTCTTGGCTGCTTATTGCCCAAATGAATTTGTGTTCTGTTCTTTTTTCCTTTTACACATGATTAGCTTTCGTAAGCTCAAAATTTCTATCAGTTGCCTTGTGTCAGTCATTGATACTATATAGCTTAGGAAACATAAAAAAAGCCTCTTCCTAAGCTTTTTTCTGAGTCCTGGCTACTTTTAAAAGAATTTTTTAGCTGTTGTTTAGCATAACCTGGTTTTTGTTTTTCTGATCAATCGAATAAGTTACACTCTATTGTTTGATCAATCCCTGTTGCATAATAATTTTGGTGATACTGTGTAATCCCTCTTATAGAGGAAGTATTGCAGGGTGTGGCTTCAGGAATTGACCTTTTTGACTCCACGTACGTATTGAAACTCTAGATATTTATTTTCCAACAATTTTTTAATACTTATGATAATTATTTTTAAACCAATGCCAACACGAATGCAGGTACATTTACCATCTTACACTTGGAGGTTTTGCACTTATCTTCCCATTCAAGATTCTTGATCATAACAATCTAGATTTTCAGCTCGATGATACTGTTGGTGATCGCACAAAAATAAATTTGCGGGCAACAATCTACAGGTGTGTGATCTCTGTTCTCTTAATACATCATACAGTTGTAAATTAACACACATGGTTTCATCCGAAAAACAAACATGCATGGTCTCATAGTTCTGCTCTCTTGTATTTCTTGAAGCAGCTAAATACCTTGACACATCATAGAGTTTAAAGTGTCTTGCTCGTGAACTTTATATAGCACATTAGAAGCTCTTGACTGAGTTGGAAATCATTTCATAGTTTTTCAGATTTGACTGCTGCCATTTTTTTACTAACACTCCAGTATAGGTCGTGTAAGATTTCCTCTACAATCTCTTCTGCTTTTTGTAGTCATACTACTAGATACCTCTCAAACTTGCTAGTGAATGATGGATGGATATTCACCTTGTAATTATCACGAAGGCTATATGTGCCCAACCCAAGTGAATGACATGGAGTCTAACATTCTTAACTTCACAGCAACATGCCGTCATCGGCAAATTTTTAACAGAATTGTTTATATACCTGTTCTCTGATGTTTTGTATACACCACTTTCTCTTCAGGAAGGATATATCGCCTATTGTTGCCAACTGTAGTTGCTTCACATGCCAAAATCACACTCGAGCTTACATAAACCACCTACTTAATGTTCATGAAATGTTGGCTCATATCCTACTAGAAATGTAAGTTGCCCTTCCCAATTATGAAAAGCACCGTAACTCATCTACTATTATGATGGATGGTTTGCAGACTCTTGTCTAACTTGTGTCCTTGTTTCTACATGCAGACATAACACACACCATTATTTGGGTTTTTTTCGTGCTATGAGAGAAGCTATCAAGGGTGGGAAGTTTGACTTGTTCCGACAGAGATTTGTCGAGAGCAGACGCATCCATCTTACCTCAGCTGTGCTGTGCTCTTGATGGCCCCCTCTTTTCCCTTCTTTCTTTACTTGGAGCTTACTACTCTACAAGACTAATGTGAGCTCTTTAATGTTGTAATTGGTTAATTATATTTCAGCAAACAATTTGACAAAGCAGTCTATCTGTAAGATGTAGTCTGTTAGATGACAGCATGCACAACATTCTCTGTAAACTCTATTCGAATTTTTATCACTTAGCAATTATATCTTGGAACACTTTTCTCTCTGCAATGAGCATCGAGTCATTAAACTTTCATCGTAGACTGCTGTTGGCATTTGTTGTTTTGCAGATGTCCTGTGCATTTATTTCATCAAACGTTAGTTGGCTGCTATTAATGCCTTGTAAGTAACTACCTTTGTTAGGAAGCAATAAAGAGTGTCCAAAAGACACAGCAAGAGTGAGAAGCCCGACAATAAGAACAACGAAATCCATGATTCGCATTAATTTGTGGAACAACTATAAATCAACAGCCAAGAACTATAAATAATGTACAAGACATTTATTTGTTGATAAGCTGCCATTGTTTGATGCCGCAATTCCCTTTCCCAAGGCAACAATAAGAAGAAGGATGCTGGCGAGTGAAATTAATTTGTGGGTCTCTTATCCAAAATTGCTGCCTATGATAACTATTCTTTCCTGAGAACCAAACAGAATGTGAGAATGGTTTCAGCATCAATCAGAACTTTACAGGACAAAACCAGTAGCCTTCAGCCAGCAGATGTACTTGAAAGGACAGGTCTTAAAGACTGGTACATCCCCCTTGCACAAACTCCAGATCAGTGCATGGGGTAGCCAATGATCGGTGGCTCCCCGAGACTCCATCCCTTCCTGTCTTCACTGGCTGTTTCTGCATCACCATGGCCAAAGCACTGGGATCAGAGGAAGCTTGGTGCTGTTTCCATGTCTCCTCCAAGCTCCTGCAGGATCAAATTTGTTGGTTAAGAAGAGTAGGTTTTCTTGGAATTTATGTGTGTTCTCTTCGATCTCTGTCAACAAAACCATATGAGATGTCACATATGCAGCTGTTTCCAACATTAAAAGAAAAGAAAAAGCATTGCTTTGGTTGCACAGGAGGGAGGAAAGAGGATTGATGGTGCTATAGTGTTTTTATGGGTTCAAATAAAATATTATATAAATAAGTGAGAAAAAAAATATCACGAATAAACTGTTTTCATTAACAATTCCGATATATTAACATATTAATCGATGATAAACAATCCGTTAATTTTCTTAAGCATGTAATTCCATACTACATTTCCTAATTTATTACTTATTTTCACTACCATCATCATTTAAGGTTAACAATGTGGTGTTGATGGAATATATGTTTGGGAGAGTAAGACTGACAAATTTTGGATAATCTATTTATATAATCGATAAAAACTAAAATAAAAAATGCACTTAAAAAAGATGATAGGCTTCGAAGAAGAAGAAGAAGAAATATAAACACTATTTTATATTCTCACAAATTGTCACTCTCCGAATCTAAATTATAGGATCATATGTTATGTCTCCATCAGAGACTTCAATACAAACTCTCTGCATTATTGGAGCGCGTTGGCATCGATGTCCCGTCCACGTGGTGGCCTCTCGCTGCATCTCGCCACAGAAGCATCGTGTCGATGCATCGAATCCATCGACTCATGTCCTTGTCGTGCAAACACCAATCGTTACTCCCACGTAAATCGTTGCCTCGTTTGAGATCGATCGATCGATCAAACAGATGCGTAGACGAGAGATGTCGGATGAATTGACCCACCGGAGAGAACTCCCCGGGCAATTCGACAAACACGTTATGCTCTATCGGTGGAAGCCAGTTCGATCCAGCTGGCTCACGGCGATGCTGCCCTCTCGGTGACGCACTGCATGCAACAAATCCAAGATTTTGTGTCGAGTGAGAATTATGAATGTACGCTGGTCTGAGGACAGCGATCGGTGGATTCGGATGTCGTCGTGTAAATCCACTGAACCTGTATCCATCTTACGTAGTTACTTGGAAGCTCGCTTCGCTTCTCCCGTTCCCTATATATGCTTTCCTCGGACACGCTCATGATCTCATGTTGTGCATCGGTTCCCTCCTCGTCGTCCAAGTACGTTAGCAGTGTGCCGATGGAGCATTTGGAGGAGATGAGAGCGGATGGGGGAGTGCATTATCGAGGGGTGAGGAAGAGGAAGTGGGGCAAGTGGGTGTCCGAGATCCGGGAGCCCGGGAAGAAGACCAGGATCTGGCTGGGGAGCTTCGAGTCGGCGGAGATGGCGGCGGTGGCGCACGACGTGGCGGAGCTGCGGCTCCGGGGCCGGGACGCGCAGCTCAACTTCCCGGAGTCGGTAGACCAGCTGCCGCGGCCCCGGAGCTCCGACCCCCAGGACATCCGGTCGGCGGCCCTCGACGCGGCCGCGAGGCTCCGGTGCAGGACCGTCGCCACCGCCAGGGCCGGGATAGCGCCGGCCTTGGAGCGGCTGGGCAACGACGAGCTCGGCCTCGACTCGCCCAAGATGTGGTTGGAGCTGGCGGAGGCGCTGCTGCTCAGCCCGCCCGTCTGGAGCAGCGAGGCGAGCGAGGTGGAGGAGTGGGAACCCCATGGATCCTTGTGGGATCCCTTGCTGTAATCCATCGTACGTTCCCCTCGTAACGATTACCTCATCGGCTGACACCCTCGATTTTAACGAGGATGATTCACGCGCAGATGATTAAGAACAACATATCATTCGAAGCATACGGTTTATGTCGTTCTTTCCGATCACATTCTGCATTCAGATGGTGATTAATTACTCGACGCTCAAAAGCTTAATCTACGGCGTAAGAAACACAGGAGAAGAAACAAGAGACTACTCCATGTTTAATCCCCTACTCGAAATCGATCGAGCTGTTTGGCATGACATAACGCAGCAAATGTTACTCGATCAGTTCACAGAGAGAGAGAGAGAGAGACTGAAATCACAGGACATTAGGATAGGCTTTTGATAGATACTTGGGAGACTTTGGAGGCAAAATCTTGTAGATTCTGTCGCTTTGTTCTGACTCGGACAGATCACCTTAAATATTCTGTATCCATTGGATTTTTCTTCTCCTGAGGTAAAGAGCACTCTTCTTTCTTGATTAAGATGGGACAGCATGATAATTAAGGATACATTTCGCATTCTTGACAGCTATAATTGCGAGAGAAGAAGCTGAAGCCAGTCGAAGGAAGAAAGCAGAGATTGTGACCGTATCATAGGATTAAGTTTCGACTCTACTGCAACTCTGTGATGGGGATGGAAGATCTGAGAGATCCCCAGTGTCGGGAAAGGATCGACTGCTCCTTTCCTTGTCCCAACACTCATGCAACAGCTAACAACCGGGGAATCGAGTAAGGCGGATGCAGCACTAAGCTTCAGCGTCTCCATCGTCGGAGCTTGTTCTTGGTGAAGCAGCCGGATGCTTCCCGGCGGTCAACGGGTCTAATCTCGGTCAAGACACCATGGATTAGGGAGCTGTAAAGAAGAGAGTAAAGCGGGAAGACGACGGCAATGGGAATCAATTGCTGAGATCAACATATTGGGGGCCAACTGGGAGAGATGGGGACTAAAAGTTTTCCTCTACTTTTCAGGAGCTGTGCTACCATCTCCTGCCAATTTAGTCAAACTTGTTGTGTTCTTGGGACAGGGATCAACTTTAACAATGTCTATTTGAATATGATCACATAGCAAAGTAGAAGACGAATTGGGTTCGACAACGTGTTTTGAAATCCGACCACATTAAAAGTATACAAAATTAAGCATCACAGTGGGAGTACTATAGACGTTTTGATACGATCCACTTTTCTTTGATCTTGATATTAATATCTGAATAGGTCTTACCGACATCTTTACTTTGCAACAAAATAATTAAAATTATGGTCGGTCAACCAAAGTATCTGTCGTTGATCCATATAAAACTTGAACTCGAATATAAGATCTATCACTTGTGTCATAATTCACTAATTAATCCCGACGTCTCATGTGCAGGTCGCGTGATCCTCCTTTCGCCGTTGGATTGAGATCAATTATATTTGGATCAGATCGAAATCGGATCCGATACGTTGATTCATATCCGATCGAATTGACCCAATTGTGGCCTTAATGGTTCGGCAGGCCCCAATATGGCCCGCCAGGCGTGACAAGTGAGAGCCTCGGTTCGAGAAAGACCGGTCCGGTTGGCCCAAAATTGACACAAAGACCGAACCAAGTATGTATATCGTTGATTCGTGACGGGTACGGGTACGGGTACGATCGAATGAGTAACCCGAATCCGTTGATTAATGGTCGGGTCGGGTACGATTTATTCGGTATCCGGTCCAATATCCTATGCCATCTTACCGACCCGATCTGTAGTCGTTTGCCTTCGCTCCCTCGAATCGTAAACGCCTTCTTCCGCCGTTGAGCGGCACAGCGGAGGGGAAAGGAAGCGACCGGGGGAACCTCGAGCTAGGGTTTCGTTTTTGCCGGAATTAATGGATAATTTCGCACTCCTCTCCTCTAAGTTCTCCGTTGTCGTAGCAGCTCCAGCTTCGTACGAGATCCTCAGCAGGCGGCGGTCGGCTCATTCTTCTCTTCTCTCGCTCCCTGCGAGAAGAGGTAGACGAATCGGGTGCGGTGGTAGACCTCCCGTACTCGTTTTCTTTGCTCTCAAGAGCGGAAACATTGATCGAGCCCCGTCTAATGCCGGTAATTTTTGTCCCACATCTGTGTTCGAAGCATTTTCCTGAAATATATTGGGTTAAAGACGAGGATATTGATTGGTTACGGTTCCTTCTTCCTCACGTAATTTGTGGGTGGGCAATTCCTTCTGTGGTTATGGGAGCAAAGTATGCTGTGGCCCTTTGGACTCTGAATTAGTGTACTATAAACCCTGAAGATAGCTGGAAAATATACATTTTGGTATTAGTTCTTAGCATTTCCTTTTATGTTTCGCAAATTTTTCTTGAGATTTTTACGCGCTGTTTAATTGATTAGTCATACATCCGTTACCTGCATCTGCTTCTATTTTTAGAGTACATGTCATCACGATTTTCTCCCTAAATACATTTATTTGATCTGGTTTATCTTTATATTTCATTTCTTGTTCTGCTATAGGGCGTGGGAAATTCAAGGCACAAGTTTTTGCAAGTGCTTCATCTTCAAGCAACAGTGAGATGACAACTAGTAGTGCAATGGCGCCACTTCCAGTGCCTTCGTCACCAACATCCATGTATATTTTTTACTGCATATTTCTTTGTGTTTGAAGTTGAGCACACGTGGATCTTTGAGTATATTTGTAATTTGTGGGATTCAAGCATCGCCACACAATTGTGATCGAATCAATAGCTTTCTGTTTACTCAAGTATGGAAGATCTTGTTTCCTTTCTTGGTGTGTGTTGCTGAGGCTAACATAATCTTCTCCCTCCTTCCTTTCTTCTTGAGAATCTGCAGAGGTTCACCATTGTTTTGGATTGGAGTTGGAGTTGGTCTATCGGTAGTATTCCAAGTTGTATGTTGCTCAGATTCCTCTTGGATGATAATGTTTTTATTTCTTTTGTTCTTTTCTTATTGAAAACAATGTCGTTTGGTTGACAGGTGGCTGCAAAGTTCAAGGTGAGCACCATTTCTTAATTATATTCCTTTCCGAGGTATGTTGTCCTTAAGAAGGTTGTTGCTTATCGCCAGATGTGCTTTAGAGTTTCAGTAGAATTTGTTAGCAAACTAGTTGTATAGTCCTTTTGGATAGGCTATATTCTCATCGTCTATATTCTATTAAATACTTAAAATGCTAATATTTTGAGTTAGGATGGCTCCTTGATATTTTTGTTTCTTCAATACTTTTTTATTTGTTATGTTGTATGCCTTTCCATTATGGTGTGTTTGGCTAATGGTGTAATTAGCCTTCAGCCTCTTTGCTTCGTTAAAGTGAAATAAAATATTGTTAAGAGGGTTCTCAGTGTTGGTTAATTAATTTTTTTTCTGAAAATCTAGACTATATTGATTGAATCCTCATCTTGTTTCCTTTCATAATTAATTATACGATCATCCATTTAGGGACTTCAAAAATAGTATAGTGCATGGCACCTAAAGCTGTTGGTATATCATGCATGCATTTCAGTTTTCATTGTTTTCGGTAATCTTATCGTATGTAAAACTTGTTGACAGAACTTGTGAGTTTCTTGTTTTAGAGATTTGCACTTCAGCAAGCTTTCAAGACCATGATGGATCAAGCAGCACCTCAAGGTGGACAATTCAATAATCCTTCCTTTGGACCAGGCTCGCCTTTCCCATTTCCTGCTACAACAACATCATCTCCAACTGCATCAACCACATCACCAGCACGTGTTTCCACCCAGCAATCTGTTACTGTAGATGTTTCAGCCACCAAAGTGGAATCAACTTCACAGTCTGAAGTTGGAGATGAAACTCAATTAGAAGAGGAAAAATCCAAAAAATTTGGTATGCATCTTTAGATTCAAGTCACCTTCTTTAATATTGTTCTGCATGGTAATAAATTTCGACGCAAGTTAAACTATCCACCGTTATTGTGGATCCTTACCGGAAGCCATTCAAGATCACCTCATGATTTATTCCTCATCGTTCCTGAATATGTAAAGGGAATAAATGCCTCTGCTAAGATGTTCTCCTTAGATGTAAAGGTTGCATCATTAGGCCCTTTGGACCAGAAGTTCATTTGAAGATGTTGAATAGATTAATTTAGCAGATGAGTTTACTTTAGATTTTATATATTTATAAAGAGAATTCCATAACTTTTTTGGTGGAATAATGGCTAGAGGGGTCTTTTGAGAAACTTGTATTTTGCCATATGAACGTCCTATGCATTTCTATATATGTTTCCTAGGTTGATTATGAAGAAAACAAAAGAATAACGAAGAGATAAAAAGGAAAAGAATCACGTAACTACAAGAAAGAAAAAGTATCAAGTACCAAAACCAAAAGGGAAGATTTTTAGCTAAGACAAATCCTGAAATTTATCTTCCCCATAAAAGGAAAAAATATAGTTTATTTGATTAATCTTGATATAATTGTATTTTTTTTCCTTATTATTATTTTTCTCCTTATATAGTTGAACACGAACATGAGTTTATCACTGAGTCAAAGGGATTCAGGTTGATCTTTATTCTTTCCATGCCTACTATAGATCTGGAAAGTATCTTGATTTCCATTGCATGATGTCGTGCTTTAACAATGTTGTTCATCTTAGAATTGCTGACATGATATATTAGCATCTGAAGGCTGATTTTTTTATGTCAATGGATCTTCAGTTTCTGGCACTTGACGATGATTTTACTAGATCTACAACAAGCATGATTCTGATCTTATTGAATGGAAGTTTTGTGACTATATATTTTGTTCTTTCTTTGCATAAGCAATCTTATGTCAATGTCACTATTACTGACCTAATACTTTGGTTAAATTTTTTCACTAACCTGTGTGTCACCAGGAATTCAAAAGCCACAAACTTTTATCCACCATATCCCACACTTTGATCTTTCCTATTAGGGGATTTTTTTTTTTAATATAGGACTGCAACCAACTTGGTTTGAAAGTCGACCTTATCAAACCGAAACAATCATCAGATCCTGATCCTAACCTTATAGAGTCCAACTTGACCTGAAGTTGAGATTCTTTATCCTTTGTAACCCAGCCCAAATTAAGCGCCAATTAGGTTGGGGCGATGGGCAGTTGATAGGCTGATTATCTTGTGTCTGGTTGGCATGGGCTGCGTAGATTTCAAATTCTAAAATAAAATCCAGTTAGAAAGTTTAGGTACATGCGTGTTAGCGATGCTAAAAAAATTATAATAAAATATTTAGTATGTAAATGTGTTAGAACCCTTACAAATTCTAAACTTGGGGTTGATCTCTTTAGGGGATCGGCCTCTTTGGAACTCTATAGGGGTTCCTCCCTCCAAGTTGCTGCTCAAAGGCTACAGAAAAGATTCATCTATTGCTTATCAAAAGAGGAGGAATACATGGCTATTTATAGGGTTTCTAAACCCTAACTCCTAATAGGACTCCTACTCAAGACTCCTACTTCTAACCAACTCCTAATAGGACTTCTACTCAAGACTCCTATTCCTTTATAACTCCTAATTCATCTCTAAGAAACAACCTCCTAACCCTAGCCGGCCTCTTCACCTCTTTAATAGGGGTCGGCTTAGGTAGGTTTTACATGAATGTCCCTCTCAATTAGGACTCTCCTAGCTAGAGTCCTAATAGACCCGCCCTCTTCAAATCAGCCTTGTCCTCGAGGCTGACGATTCATGAATTTTGGGAATTTGATCTAAAAGTCGTCATAGTTCTCCCAAGTGGCATCTTCTGTTGGTAGGTTCACCCACTGTATTAGCACTTTAGTAGTGGGTCGTCGTCGTTGAGTCACGATCCATCGATCAATAATGGCACTTGGCTGGGTCTGGAGTTCTCCTTGGATAGTCATATTTGGTGGGTGGCTTTGGGCTGCCTCCAAGCATCTATTTACAACTTTTGTCTGGCCGTTGATTTGTGGGTGATATGTCGTACTCCTTTTCAATTTAGTACCCTGCATATGGAATAACTTTGTCCAAAATCTGCTTATGAAGATGCAAGTAGAATTTATCATAAGCACAATGCGTCCCTTATAGTGTAATTCTTTTGAGTCCCAATTGTAATGAGCCACGGAGCTTGGTGCTTCCTCCAATTTTTTTATAATCTTACTAGTCTCTGAATCTTCCTGCCATTCCATCTTAATATCCTCAAGGAAGTCGCTGGTCGGAAGTGAAATGGCCGAAACTTCAGCTTGCTCGGGTAGCTGCGAAAACGCATCTGCAAGAACATTCTCTTTCCCCTTTTTGTAAGTTATTTCATAATCAAATCCAAGAAGTTTTGTTACCCATTTTTGCTGCTCAGGGGATGATATCTTTCGCTCCAAAAAGTACTTGAGGCTTTTATGATCGGTTTTAATTTGAAATCGTCGACCAATCAAGTAGGGTCTCCACCTCGTTGCTGTGCGCACAATGGTGAGCATCTCCTTATCATATGTTGACTTATTTTGATGGGAGGGAGATAATGCCTTGCTAGTGTATGCGAGTGGTTGACCATCTTGCATGAGAATGACTCCAATTCCGACTCCAGATGCGTCGGCCTTAATAATGAAGGGTCGGTTGAAATCTGGTAGTGTTAGCACTGGCGTCGTCGTCATGGCTGCCTTAAGTTTGTCGAAGGCAGCGGAGGCTCTGTCTAACCATTGGAAGACATCTTTTTCCAGTAAGAAAGTAAGTGGTGCATTGATCTTTCCATAGTTTTTCACGAACTTATGATAGTAGCCTGTTAAACCCAGAAAGCCATGTAGCAATTTTATGTTCCTCGGGGTAGGCTAGTTTTGCATTGCTTCAATTTTAAGGGGTCCACTGTCACACCTTCCTCTGATATGATATGCCCAAGATATTCCACATTCTGTTGAAGAAAGCAAAAATTCGTAGTGGTTGTTGTGTGTTCAAAAGGTGGTTTTCGGTATGTCTTCTTCGCACACTCATATTTGATGATACCCGGATCAAAGGTCCAGCTTTGTGAAGATTTGTGCTCCCTTTCATCTAGCAATTCATCTGCTATTGGAATAAGGTATTTGTCCTTGATGGTTATGCCATTGAGAGCTCGGTAATCAACGCATATTCGCCATGTTCCGTCCTTCTTGCGTACAAGTAGCACCGGTGAAGAGTAGAGGTTGCAACTTGACCGAATAACTCCTGTTTCGAGCATCTCTTTTACAATCCTTTCTATTTCATCCTTCTGGAGATATAGATATTGATATGACCGAGTATTTGCTGGAGGTTTGCCTGAAAGAATCGTTATATAATGATCATGCCGACGGGTAAGAGGTAGGTTGTACGGTTTGTCAAATATATCTGAAAATTCAGCAAGCAAAGGAAGTAGGTTTGGATCTTCAAATTCTATTGACTCCCTTAGTTTGCTGCTCAAGTTGTACCAAAAATCTGCTGCATGCTTTATGCAAAACCTTCTTCATTTGTTGTGTGCAAGTCGTCGTTACGTCGCCCCCACGTTTCCCGTTCAGTATCGCCTGTTTCTCCTTACTGTAAAATTTCATAATTAGTTGCATAAAATTCCAAGAAATATCACATAATGTCGTCAACCATTTAATTATGAGCATGGCCTCATGATCATCAAGAGGGAGAAGGAAGAAATATGCAATTATCTCTTGGTAAGGCCTCATGTTCAGCAACAGTTTCACTTGCGGGCGCCTACGATTATACTTCAAAATTCATCCATCGGCGACCTTAATGTCAAACCTGTTGCAATTCTCGATAGGTAAGGCCATCTGGATAGTAACCTTACTGTTTAGAAAGTTATTAGTACTTCCCGTGCCGATGAGAACAGTGATCGGTTGTTGTTTCAGAAGGCCTCCAACTTTCATCGTTTGCGGGTTTGAGTAGCCGGCTAGTGTATGTACCGTAACTTCGGTCGGTTGTGGCTCTTCTTCTGCATCTTCTTCTTCATGTTCAAGGCTCTCTTCTGGATGTTCAATGACCTCTTCTTCTATTGGTTCAATCATAAGAAGTCTCCCTTTACTATAGCGATGCTCACGGCTCGTCACAATGCCAACATAACCCCTTCGCATATCGCTTCCGAAGCTCTTCTCTCGTTAACCTCTTTGGTGTAGGGACTTGGTCGATAGTAGGGGGAGCTGAGGGCTTCAATATTACTGGTTGAGGAGCGACCCTAGTCCTCTGAGCTTCATGGTTCAATTGCTCCTCTTGATGTCGTGCGAAAGAGATGGCTGCTATAAGCGTATATGGTTGTCGCGCTTTAACTTCTCCTCGGATCTCCGACTTCAAGCCCTCAATGAAGGTCCTCAATAGCTGTTTTTGAGACCAATCACGAGTTTGATTAGATAACCTTTCAAACCTGGTTTGGTACTCCTGAATGGTAGAGGTTTGTCGGATCTTTGCTAGTTGTCCGTCAATATTCTCGTAATCGGTTGGTTTGAAGCGGATTAACAGTCCTTCTTTGAATTGTCGCCATGAAAGGACTCCATAAGTATGTTTAAACCAGTCAAACCACTGTATAGCAACCCCTTCAAGATGTATAGCTGTAATTTTCACCATAGATGCATCCGCGATTTTATGGTACCGAAAATATCGCTCCGCACGCGAGATCCAACCAATCGGGCCTCCTTCTTCCCATCTTGGGAAGTCCACTCTCATGCATGGATAGTTGGGGTTGGTCATAGAGCTTCCCCTCTCTTGGAAGTCATATCTTTGGGCTTGGTGCGATTGGGCAAAGCTCTCTCCTTGATGTGATTTCTTCGGGCTTAGTGGTCGGCCCAATCTGAGTTCGGTAAAGAGCGTCCGAATCTTATCCTCCATTTGCGCCTCGAAGGCTTCGAATTTAGCATTGATTACCTCCTCAGATGCCATAGTATATACCGCCAAATCTGTGATGTTAAGATCTCTCTTTTGTTGTCGGGTTAAAGGCATGTATTGGTTGAGAGAGGTGATCGTCGAAAGGGTTGGTAGATCGGTGGATGTAGGCTACGGTTTAGGCTTGTTTTGTGGCTATTTTGGGTGCAGTTTGAGGGTGTGGTTTGGTGGAGTTTTAGGGCTGTAGATGAAAGTTTTGGATCTGTGGTAGATGGTAGCAAAGGTTTGATAGAAATAAGTGGAAGTTGCAGCAAGTATGTGCTGTCTTGTAAGAGTAGAATTGTCGTCGAAGAAACAATGGTTTCTCGACGTAATTTTCACCAAAAACTTGAGAGAATTAAGGAGAGAATTGATAGCAAAATCATAGTTTATATGACAGCAAGGATATATAATTTAATCAAGAAAATTTCGGCAGTATAACAGCAAGGAAATTGGTGCAAGTTGCGATTGCAGAATTCTCGTCGAGAAATTTCAGCGGGTTACGACGAAAATTTGCAGCAACACAAAATCGTTTTTAGAGATGAATTTCTTAATAGATCAATTATAAATGGAAGCCAAGATGATCTATGAAGTGTATAAGAAATTTCATTCAAAAAAGATTGCAAATAGATGGGTTAAGGCAACAATATGCGGCTGAAATTTTCTGCAGCACAGATTTTTAAGTATAGCAGATTGGACGTAAAAGATCAGTGGTTTATATTGAGAATTTTTTGATGAAATCAAACGGAATTCCACTGTTAGGAAGTGTCAAAGCTATCATAAAAATTTTGTAGAGATTTGGATAGAAACAACGTAGTATCAAGATCAAACAAACAGTGCTATGCGGCTGAAATTTTACAGTGCAGATTTTCAAGTATAGTAGATTAGACGTAAAATATCAATGGTTTATATTAAGAATTTTTTGACAAAACTAAAGGAAATCTGCTGTTAGGAAATGTCAAAGATGTCATAAAAATTTCGTAGAGATTTGGATAGAAAAAACATAGTAGCAAGATCAAACAGACGGTGTTATACGGTTGGAATTCTGCAATGTATCTTTCGTTGTAGAGATGAAAACTTTATGACGAAAAGTTTATGCAGCAATATAGGAATAATTTTTTTGGGATTTTCAAATAAGGATAACTAAATTGCAGCAGCAGTAAGGTAGAAAACCAGAACCTGTTGCAATTCACGGGGAGATCAAAGGATGATCCGTGGTGGTGGAGATGACGGCGGAATTTGGTAACGATCTCTTAAGCAATTGTGGGAATTGCTTTGGGCGGTTGTGGAGGGTTGATGGATGGCTGTGGAAGGGCAGCGAGACGCCAAGAACGCTGCTCTGATACCAGGTGTTAGAACCCTTACAGATTCTAAACTTGGGGTTGATCTCTTTAGGGGATCGGCCTCCTTGGAACTCTATAGGGGTTCCTCCCTCCAAGTTGCTGCTCAAAGGCTGTAGAAAAGATTCATCTATTGCTTATCAAAAGAGGAGGAATACATGGCTATTTATAGGGTTTCTAAACTCTAACTCCTAATAGGACTCCTACTCAAGACTCCTACTTCTAACCAACTCCTAATAGGACTTCTACTCAAGACTCCTATTCCTTTATAACTCCTAATTCATCTCTAAGAAACAACCTCCTAACCCTAGACGGCCTCTTCACCTCTTTAATAGGGGTCGGCTTAGGTAGGTTTTACATGAATGTCCCTCTCAATTAGGACTCTCCTAGCTAGAGTCCTAACAAAATGGTATTGCCAAATTATATTGGGTTGCTTATGGGTCAATCTACTGGTTCAGATTATTCCATTTCTAACTAAATCATGCCCAAAAAATACCATCATATCTCAATTCAGCCTAATGATTGAGTTGGTCTGCCAGCTTAGGTTGAACCAAAGCCAAATGACTTCTTCCTTGTTACAGCAATACAAGTAGAAGATACAAATTTCTACCTTCGTGGTACAAGACATGATGAAGAAAGCAAAAATGTGTTGCAGATCTTGTTAGCAATTTCCTATAATCTTTGGCATACGGGAATCAGTTGTCTATGCTGACACTTCGCTATCTGTTGCAAATTTCTGCAGCTTTTGTGGATGTTTCTCCAGAAGAATTACTGCAAAATGATCCTTCCAATCTAAAAGAGTCAACAAAGGCAAGTCCAGCTGAGACTCAACCGGTGAACGAAGTAAGTACTTGGCATGTTACAGAGCAGTTGCTTTATTCTTGAGTGATAAATCTGCTGAAATATCAGCTTGTACTTTTTGAAGATTCCACCAAATGGAACTGTTAAGCAGGATGGAAGTGCTTCAAATGAACAAACTCAAACTCGTAAGTTATGGGGATGATTTGTTATTGGGAAATGTTATGCGACCCCAACAATGGCAATTTTCTTTTTATATTTCAAAGCTCAAGGCAGACCATATAGAGATATTATGCAGTGCCAGTTCATGAGTTTTTGCATTATTTGATGGATTTTTTAGTGCATACAAGTGGTCATAGTTTATGATTAAACATTCAGGCCCTCCTGAAATTTATTGATGTATTAAAATTGCAATCTTTTCACACCTATGAATTGATATGTCCATTAGATGTTGTTCTACTTCATTCGTTGTTGTTCTACTTCATTCATTATCATCTATGATGCCGAAAAAGATAAATAATGCTTAAAAGGATAAAATTACGTATGTACGTGTGTCTGTGTTGTCTATGTGCATTTGTTTTTATGCATTCATGAATGCAAAGGCACTTTCATTCACACACCACTGTGCTGAATGGTTACATCTCTCATACTCTGTTTACCAAATTATTTTATGGTTTATGAAGAAAATAATTTATGAAGCTTTTCATATTTGTTAGCCTAATACTTGTGAAAAAGAATTTTCTCAAAATTTGTGCTATGTTCATGTAAGTTAATTTGTTCACCTTGTGCACAGGTGATTCACCATCTCTCTTGTCAGTTGATGCATTGGAGAAAATGATGGAAGATCCAACTGTGCAAAAAATGGTTTACCCGTAAGTATCATGCTAATTAATTAATTGGAATACTCCTATCCAAGCTTTACAGTCTTTCTAAAGGTTAGCTTGATTTTTTTATTTTTTTAAATACAAAGTTATCATTTGCCTTCATCTTTGACATGAAGCTACGAGATCTCGTTGGTTCAATCTTTTCCAGGGTTGTTGACTGAAGTCAGAAAGAAGCATGCAGATGTTAGATAATGCATACAACTTGGTCTTTAGAGAAAATTCCTTGTGGCAACTTATGGTCATGTAGACCTTCATTTGTCTTTATATTATAACTTGAAACTTTTGTCCAATTCTTTTGTTTGATTCTTTAAGTACATGACATTAGTTAGATCTTTGTGCATTGTATATGACCTAGGACAACCTAAATGGTGATAGACTTAAGGGTTTGGGTAGAGAGTTGGTGACAAGAAAAATGGAAACAAAATAAGGGGAGGATTCAATAAAACACAATGGATTCATAGAAATCTCAATTCGAACAATGAAGGAGAAAAACATTGATATGCCCTTTTTTGTTAGCTTGATTTGGTTATGAAGTTTGATACATGATTCTCTTATGCTAGATGACTCCAATAATGTCAAGCTCCCTGCAGTTTGGGGTTTTGGAATCCAGTAATGGTGGAATTTAGGTGGTAGGATATTTGAGAAAGAGAGTAGAGGAAGATCGTCTGAAGCTTCTTCTGTTCCATTAGGTATCTAATCTGTCTCAGGTTGGAGCTTGGGCAGAAAGGACTAAATTTGTGATCTCACACCTGTTACATATATTGTAAGAGAAAAAATTCATTCAGTAACTTTTTTTATCGGCCAAAGTACAAGAAGAAATGGAAATGCTATAATAAGGAAAAAAGACAACTACATCAAGGCTAATCAATTAGTTAAATTTTCTTTAATTGGGGAAAATAAATTTTTAGAGACAAATAATCTTCCCTTTTGATATAATATATTTTCGACGGTTTTCTATCTTTGCAGGTAGGTTAAACTTCCTTATGGATATGAAATCTTCAATCAAACTAAATTTGGATTCCATCCATTCATTGTTTTCTTCTTTCATTTCCTTTCTCTTCTCCTTGATCAAGCTAGGAAATGAAGATAGAAATGTCTGAGATATTTCCACGTGACAATTTATAATTTTTTTACATAAGACCCGTTCCAAAATAATAAACCATTCCAAAGAAAAAGAAAAAAATAACTGGGCTGAATTTAAAGCATGATGGTTAAACCAGAATCGAAGTTCATCAAACACCAAAGAAATTTGTGTTGACCCATCTTCTTTCCACACCTCATATATAATCAATCTGGAAAATGTCTTTATTTCCATCAGTATATGTTGGATTTCTTTGATATAATGAAAACCAAAGAAAGTTTTGTATTGGTCTTACCTTAAGTGCTTTTTTATGTTGCACATTCATCCTCCATTTGGCTTAGTTTTATTCCTTTTTTTTATCATATTCGTTACTATAATACTTTACCTTCATAACCCATGAAATAGGACTGACCTTGTCTCGATGCATTCATGTGGCAGCTATTTACCTGAAGAAATGAGGAACCCAGAGACATTCAACTGTATGTGTTCATCAAATCTGCTTGAGAATTTTTACTTTCCCTTCTTGTGGTTGTTCATTAGATATCTAGACATATTACCATATATTTGCAAATTCTTATAAATCTACTGGCAGACATTTGATTTTTTTTTTCTTCTTTTTTCAGGGATGATGCAAAATCCTCAATTTCGCCAGCAAATGCAAGATATGCTGTATGACCTCAATCCTGATCTCCGTTTGCGTGTTTAAACATTTTGTTTTTTTATATTACACAACAGCTTTTGTTATTTGGAATAATATATTCTAAAATATGCAAACATAGAAATGAAATATATTTTTTTTCTGAAGAAATGCATGTTAAATAAACTCTTGCATTTGATTTGTGATTGACAAGGTGGTCTTATAACAGCCATGGTAGCTAGTATCATTACACACACACACAGACGCACACACATATATATAAACTATGATGCTTAGCACTTTGTACAAATCCTTTAGATTATTACTAGATTGAAGTATCTAGTATAAAAATGTGTGATTTTGACTTTTTTCAGTTGTTAAATTAGTTTTTATTCTTATTTTAAGTTCAACGAGCTTATCCTATTAGTATAATTATTGTTTTGATCCTCGAGTACCTTATGAGACTTGACAAAGAAATTTTTGTTGTAAATATTCTTGGGCTGCAAATAAATGAATTGCATGTTGGATATTTGTGGTTGATTATTGAATCTTTATAACACAAAATATAAGGAATTTCTCGTAGTTTCTGTCATGTTTCTGATTTATATGCAAGTTTTTTAATGGGTTTACATTTGTGGTTTTCAACAATTTCATTAGAATTTGCATTGTTATCTCCTACTTTTGAATTTATGATTTCTTGTCCTTATTCAGAAACAATATGGGTGGAAATAATGAATGGGACAACCGCCTGACGGAGTCCTTGAAAAATTTTAATCTTAGCAGTCCTGAGATCAAGCAGCAGTTTGGTAAGTCAGAAAGTATCTCTTTGTTGATAGCAGTCGCTGTTGTGGAAAAGAAGTCATTTCTGAATCATACTTCTTTTTAAAGCTTCTTTAATCGGTGTAGTACAATTACCTTTTCAGAAAAATATCATTTTTCTTGGTTGTGTACTTTTTTGATAAGTAGTTTGGAAAAACAATATGAAAAGATCTTCAGACAAAGCATATTCATACAATAGAAAACTCTTCAATCCCTCGTTCAACCTTTTACATGGAAGAAACTTTTAGTACAGAATTGTGAATTTGAATTGGACATGACTCCTTATTTGTTATGTTTGTTTTATGGTGAGGTAGGCTCTAAGCAAAGTTTACCCTGCCTTGGAGACTGAATATAACAGATAAAGAACTCAGTAGAAAAGCAAAAGTCAACTGCATCTCTCTGTCTATTCAGCTTGCTGCAACCATCTCTGTGTATCCTCTTTCCTTTCTGTCTTCACTTTGTCTTTTTGTTCATTGATTTCTCCTAACCTTTTTGTTCTTTTGCTACTTCTGAAAATGTGCCTTTCTAATTTCCACAATTTACTAGATCTTTGCTAAGTACTTCCCTTCCACGTTCCAGCTTTCTTTGTAGGCTAACATCCATCTTGGCTGTCAGACTGTCATCACCTTTCCTAACTGCCTAAGCCTAGCATCACTTTATCTAGCCTTGATCACCTCTCCCGCATCCTTTCTTTCCCACTTATGCTCGTTAACGTCTCTATTGTATCTTTGTATTTTGCCCTTGCCTTCTGCTGGGGTACCTATTGAATTGGTTTTATGTAGCTAACATAATCTATCAACATTCAAGTTTGATCAGTTTGCTTTATAAGTACAATCAGGTTAGATCAGGTAAAACTTCTGTTGATGGAGGTTGATGCAACCTGGGATTATTAATCACAAGCCTGTTATGTCTTCTAGATTATTTCTATGAAATACAACCTAAAATGTTGTGTTCTTTATGGTATCGATTTAGTTGGCACTGTGAGAATCAAGCAGCATAGTTTATTTAATTGTTTGATGGAGGTTTTGAATGCCTTTGAGAACCATCTTTGTATAGTTCAGCATTGTCCTTGATTTTGACTAAGCTCACAGGGCATGCACAGTGCACATGGCATGGGCAGTGCATCTGGTCTTAGGAGCTACCTGAACAGTTACGTTGGTGTGAGCTGATACATGGAAGCAGAAAGTATATCTGGAGAAGTATCACACTGTTTACTGTACTCCTTATGTGACTGTTGTTGAATAGCTACTCATTTTTTGATATGTGTTGAAGTAACTATTAGCAAATCTTGTATCGGTAAACTTTGCTTATTCTTTTTTGTGGTGCTACTTCTGGTGACTTTTGCTGAAACTTATACATCTTACATTTAATGCAGAACAGATAGGGCTCACTCCGGAAGAAGTTATTTCTAAAATAATGGCCAATCCTGATGTTGCTATGGCATTTCAAAATCCTAAAGTGCAAGCTGCTATCTTAGATGTATGCTCAGACACATTTCATTTTTTTAAAATGTCTATCTATATTCTGTATATTAACATATTTTTGCATTCAACAGTGCTCACAGAATCCACTCAGCATTGCAAAATATCAGAATGACAAGGAGGTAAGTTATAGATACAGTTTGTTTGGCAATATGTCGTCATGAATTTTGTTATGTAGGTATTTTTTTTGGTTCTTTATGCTGTAGATAATAGTGTGAGACCATTGCTCTATCTTTCTTAGTGAGTTGTGTTCTGTAGACATATCAAGAGTTATTTGCAATCATAGTCAGAAATTAGTTGCTGTAGTACTACGATATGAAGTTGAACTTGTAATCACAAGATGAAGGAATTGAAGTTGGCAAAAGGTTCGTAACAACTTAGAAGGTGGAAGAAACTTTATGCTTCTGTAGGATAACATGTTAGATGGTTATGTAAGGTTCTGTTGTCACATATTTAGATGACTCTTGGTTTAGCTTATTCCTTGAATGCTGAATGCTGAGCTTGAAAATTGCATATTGACATCCATCGAGAAGTTGGATTTTCAAGGGACATTTTGGAGTCATCTCAGGCTCTATAACGTTGGTTGCCTGTTAAGAAAAAGATTTAGATACCCATGTAAATAATGGTGTTAGGCGAGTTGTGTTAATGATTCTAGAATGATTTTTTTAGCTTTCTTAAGCCTGAGTTGGTGGTTTCAAAGAACTTTGCATATTATGAAAATACATTATAATCTTATCTTAAGGTTGTTCAAGAAAGAGAAATTTGATCTTATGTAACACTAACACTTGGTTCTGTTGGCACAGTTATTCTGCATTAGCATCATTTTTTATCGCTCCTGATGCTTATGTTCTTTGATGTTGGTTATATATGTAATAAGGAATTTGATTTTGTGGTTATATAACCATATCTTATATGTAAAAGAAGTAACAAGTTACTGTAATAAAGTTTTCTACATTTGAAGCAACCACTTAATCAAGAAATTTGAACCAACTGATTTCTTCATTTCATAGTTCACAACAGTGGAAGCAAGTGACAACTCACACCTTGATGACTTGATAGCTGCAGTGTCTATTTTGCAAATCAGAATAATGAGATTCCAATTACTTCTGCTCTTTATTTTATCTTTTTTCCTTTTGAAGTTACGATGCATGTTTAAATCCATGTTGATGCAATATTGGTTATGACATTGCTGGCTGATATCTTTTACTGTTATTAGCTGTCATTGTAACAACGTCAATGACCTGTAAACAATGTAGCAACTGCATGCATCTATAGTCTCCGTGCATCGTCCGCATATAATTTACTTGTCATATCTGGGACTCCCTAGATAACACCATCTCAGAGTTTCCTCATATCTCACTTTATGTTCTTTCATATGCTGCGATCTCGTGTTCATCACTCTTTTATCTTAGATTATGGATGTGTTCACCAAGATATCAGAACTCTTTCCTGGTGTATCGGGTTACCCATGATGGACTTCACATGCATGGGTCCATGGTTCTGACAATTCAATCTGTCCGCCGCCCGCTGCCGGCCCATCGGATGGTGAAGCTGTAAACTATGCATCACAGTTTCGAAATGCAGTTCACGCTCGAGCAAATTCTTGGTAACTCACCTCAGCTGGTTATCATAGCTCCTGTGAATTGGTCTGCTGTTTTGAGTATAGATATAGGGTTTTGTAACTTATAGCATCTTTCTCCAACGTATGACTTTGCTTAGTATTGATCATACCTTCTTATTTGACGAACCTTACATGGTTGGATCGTTTTTGTTCCAAAATGAGTTTAAAAATTCAGAATATGATATAGAATGGATTCATGGGGGTAAAATTATCGAATGACATCCTTGATGATTAAAAAATATATATTTTGATCTCTGAGGAACGCATATGTGACTATTATTCAAGTCATGATAACTTTGTTGGATAAACTATTTCGTTTATTTCATTGACCAATTTATTTTGGATTGAATTAATGTAATTACTTTTTAGATTTTATCACATGTTATTTAATCTGGTTAAAAGTTTATATTTATAACGGTAGATATCATCATCTTTATCATACAACTGATGTTTTGCCTAACATTCGGTCCAACCATTGATCTAAGATTCGACGAGATCGCTTCATAATGACTTCATAATGATCGCTTTCTGATAGTTATGTTTCGAGTCCTTATGATGACTTCAGGGGGAAGTCTTTTTGTGGGTCTTCTGCTCCATCATTCAAGCAAGACATCAAAAGCCATTATATCACACTCAGTTGTTGCCTCTCCCTACCCCCACGTTGTGGTCTATCCCTCCTGATCGAGTGGCGGCCTTCGCACGCTCCTGACCATGGCTGTCTTCCAGCCCAACCTCTTCCTCCTCTTGCCTCTCGTCTCGGTGCTGGTGATGGCACCGGACCTGGCCGCCGGCGACAACGCGGCCCACCTGCACTTCTACATGCACGACACTCTCAGCGGCTCCACCCCCAGCGCCGTCAGGGTCGTGCGAGTGTCCGACTCGACGGTGTTAGGCTTCGGAGACGTCGTCGTGACAGACGACCCGCTGACCGAGGGGCCGGACCTTCGGTCGGCTCCCGTCGGCCGGTCGCAGGGTCTCTACGCCATGGTTTCCCAGGGTACCGGTGACCCAGCGCTGCTTCTGGGCGTCAACCTGGTGTTCACGGAGGGGACGCGCAACGGGAGCACGCTGGCAGTGCTTGGGAGGGACGCCGTCTACTTGCCGGTGAGGGAGCTCCCGGTTGTCGGCGGCAGCGGCGTCTTCCGCCTCGCCCGCGGCTACGCCCTCATCAAGACGTACTCGCTCAACACCACCACCGGCGATGCCGTCTTGGAGTGGGACGTATTCGTCGTGCAATAATTTTCGTGCTCGTTGATCGATCAAGTCCTCCTCGTTCTCCTCTCGTCCGATTTCATGCTTCGTCTGTGAAGCATGAGCAGCCTAAAATATGTTGCATTCTGTTCTCTATCGTGAAATGCATCATCATCATCATCAAGATCAAAATGAGAAGCTTAGGTCGGCAGTCGCAGTCTGATTGATGCCCAGTGATCTTCCAATCAAATAAGAAAATAAAAAGAAAGAAAATTGACCTGTCGTAGCTTTTCATGTTTCGTTCTTCTCTTTTACGATGAACTGCAGTAATCTGTTGGAGATTCGGTTTGAGATCATTGACACTTTACCTTCCCAGTAGGTGAGAAAGGCAGCGGAAACCATAACAGTGCCGAAAAGAGGAAGACGACAAGAGGGACTTGAGGGAGAAACCCGTTACTGATGATTCACAATATAATCGACTTATATGTGCACGCTATCTACGTCAATTAGAGCGCCATAAATCATATTTGACTTGGATTGATGTAGTTTATGCCTTCATGAACCCTCCAGGTACTTGTCGACGACGCTCACCAAGGTGCTCTTGGGCACGGCGCCGATGACGCTTTCCTTCTTCTCGCCGTTCTTGAACACCAGCACGGTGGGAATGCTGCGGATGCCGAACCTGGAAGCGATGCCAGAGCAGTCGTCGGTGTTCACTTGGCAGCACACGATCTTCCCGGCGTAGTCCCTGGCCAGTTCCTTGATCACCGGCGCGATCATCCGGCACGGACCGCACCACGGTGCCCAGAACTCCACCAGCACTGGCTTGTCGCTGGCAGCCACCAGATTCTCCCAGTTCGCATCCACCACCACCAACACTGCACGGCGTGCAGCGTCGAAGATTATGTTGTGATGGTCTCATTCATCTCAGCCGCACAAGCTTTTGAAGCGGTGGTAAATGCAAACATTACCTTCGTCCACGGTCTTCTTGGCTCGACAGGTGACGCGGCTCCGTCGCCCGTCGTCTCCGGTCGACGTGGAAGGAGGAGATGAGACGGACTTCCTGTGTCCGGTAGCGGCAGGGAGGTGGAACTTGTCCCTGATGAAGACGGGTCGGTGCGCAGGTAAAGCCCAGGTGCCGGTGGTAGCTGCAGCCGAGGAGGCAATGGTGCTCACTTGGAAGCAGGCCTTCAGAGCCATTCACTTGCACCTCTCGATCTCCCCCTTCTTTCTCTCACTTGCTCTCGGATGGGAAGAAGGAAGATGGGGTCTTGCAGCTTGTGATGAGCAGCACTGATTTCTCTCTCAGTGGATATTGCGTGAGAACATGAGGCTGCCATGGCGTCAGGTCCCGAGTGGATGAGCTCTCTCCTTTTGTTGCGAAACAAAGGAATGGATAAAACGAAAAGAAAAGAAAATTTAAAATTTCGAATATGGCACGTGCTCGTCACGTGACATAAAAGCACTATGTGGAACCCCCCCCACGCCCCCCCCCCCCCCGGTCCGGGACCGGACCGTACGACCGAACCTACCTACCTACT